TCACATTTAATTTAATGAAACTGAAGTTGAGAGAGAGGGCTTGGGAACGTGAATAAGGTGGAGAAGGAAGGAAAAGACACTGTTGGAGAATGACAGTGAGTCCAGAAAAATTAAGGGATTTTAGAGGAGTGCCTGGGTGGCTCAGTTGGTTAAGTGTCTGACTTTGGCTCAGGTCGTGATCTTGGGGTCCTGGGATGGAGCACAACGTCCAGCTACCCACTTAGCTGGGTGTCTGCTTCTCCCTCTCCCTCTGCCCTCCCCAACTCGTGTGCGCCCATGCTGGCTTTCCCTCTCTCCCTCTCTCTCTCAAATGAATAAATGTAAATAAAATCTTTTTAATAAGGTGTTTTAGAGCAACAGAGAGAGAGCCCAGTTGGAGGCAAACAACTTGAATTTCTATGGCAGTCCAAATCAACAAAGATCTGTAATTTTCTTTGGCAATGCTTGGCAGATGAAAAGCAAGAGTAGAGAAAATATACCAAGAAGGTGCACTAAGCTTGGGAATTGGTATAGCAGGCAAAGCAGAAGTCATGGAGTGAGGGAGTCTAAAGTGGTAGTTGTGATACATTGGAATAGCTGATCCTGGAGTCAAAATTAGGTAAAGATATGTATCCCCTCAGCCTAGGGCCAGGAGAGAGAAGGAAAGCAAGCTTGACCAATATAATCATTCCCTAGGTCTGATCCAGCAGCAAATTATTGTATCTTTTTAAGTATCACTTCGGGGACTGTGCTTACTTAAGTGCTTATGTAGGTGTTAAAAAATTTTTGTAGATTGGCTAAAATCATTATTTTATCTACAACCACCTTCTGACTTAGCTATAGTTGTTAATGATATCACTGTTTAACTAGTCAGCCCAATTTGAAACTTCAGGGTTTTTTTTTAATGTTTTATTTATTTATTCATGAGAGAGAGGCAGAGGCAGAGAGAGAAGCAGGCTCCCTGCCTAGCAGGGAGCCCGATGCGGAACTCGATCCCAGGACCCTGGGATCATGACCTGAGCCGAAGGCAGACGCTTAACCATCTGAGCCACCCAGGTGCCCCGAAACTTCAGGTTTATTGGTGAACCTACTCACCTTCATCTATAGTATTTAATAACTCAAGTTTTGTCAATTCTATAGTAAATTCCTTAATGTATATCTCTGATCATTCTCACCTATCATCATCAGATGGCAATTTGCCTAACTAAATAAAGGTCTTATGCCCTATACTTGTATTTACATGCAAGAAACATTCAATGCAAAGAGTTAAATGGTCATTGAACAAAATTCAAATACATGAAATTCTAGCTTCAAGAAAACATGAGTCTCACCACCTTCACCACCACCACAAACACACAACACACACACACACACTTAAGTCAGTGCTCAGTGCCTATTTTTTATCTATTAGACAACTGTAACTAAGAGCTTACAACTTACAGGCTTTTAGAGATAAAATAAAGTGAGATCTTAAGAAGACAGTATAAAATACTAAAAAAATGGGAAAACTCAAAAATAATTTAATTAAATGGCTACAAAATATATCAAGTTCATTAATTATTAAATTTTCTATTTATTAAAAAATCCACTGTCTTTGAAAACAATTTTTAGGTTGGATCTTCTCACTTCCCAAGAATGTCCAAGTATGTATAATGATTATGGAGAAATCACAGCCATTATAAATTAAATTAGTTATGCACAGACAAATAATTTCAAGAGAAAAATTACAAAAGCCCTTTCAAAAATTTATAGCAAAAATATAAATATTTAATGCAGGATGTGGATGCATTTTAATATGTTTAATATGATGCTGGCTGAAGCATTCACAAGTGAGAGAGCTTAGGGCCTGCAAAGGCAGAAACAGGCCTGCTTAACATAGATGAGGCTGGGGAAGATTTTGCATGGGTGAGTCAGCAGCCAGAGGCTGAAAGGCAGGCTGAGCAGAGGTATAAATGATTCACAGATTTTTAAATCACCACTAGTTGAAAAGCCTCACTTTTCATATACACAAATCCAGCACAGCTATTGCTTTCCATACAAAGCAGCCTAAAGAAGAGCTCATTTTTATTTACATATTTCCATTTATACTTTTCATTTCTTATAGAATTTGGTATTTGCTGCTTAATTCCTACCCTAGTTGGTTTCTTCATTTCCTTTGACCTCCACCCCTATTTCATTCTCTAAGGCCAGACTCTCCTTTCTGCTTCAAGAATCCCATAGCCAGGTCTGGCATTGCCCACCCAGGCCTACTTTCCTTCTCCCCTCAGAAACTGGAGATGCTAAACTGAAAGAATATGGAGTTAGCCTGGTATTTAAGGCTCCAAGGATTCTGTCCTGAACATATCTTTCCAGTTACTTACCAAGACCACTGTTTACAAACCTTATTTTCTACCCAGCATTTTCCTTAAGAATTGAACACATGCAGCAGTTAGTGACAATCAGACGGGTATGCTCATGATTCAGTTACTCCATTGATCATTCAGCTGAATACTGCTAACTTGTCATCTTGGTCTTAACCTTTATAGAGTGTTAAATTTTTTTTAATGGTCATAAGCTGTTTAATATACATCCATAAAAAAATCAAAGAGATGCTGATGTTGAAATACAGACCATAAAAATGATAAAAATTCTACAAATTCTCAAGGTGATACTCATCAGACCTATAAGCTGCATTTATCTGATCAAAATTCTTACATGGCATGTAAAGATTTCTCTAGCACATACTTCGAAAATCCTAAAAGAGAAAGTAGAGTTATGGCTAAATTCAACTGAGTGATTACCTAAGCTCCTTCTATCCTCAATCCTATGACACTTCTCGAGGCAGGCAGTGACACATGATGCTGGTGTCGCCTCCGACACAGGCATCATGAAAGAAGGGCAGAACACACTCTTGGTTTTTAGATTATTGTTTTATGTCTCAGTCCAGGGTGGAAGAGATTTAAGAAGAACTCTTTTTGGGGGCACCTGGGTGGCTCAGTTGTTAAGCATCTGCCTTCAGCTCAGGTCATGATCCCAGGGTCCTGGGATCGAGCCCCGCATCCGGCTCCCTGCTCAGCAGGAGGCCTGCTTCTCCCTCTCCCACTCCCCTTGCTTGTGTTCCCTCTCTCACTGTGTCTCTCTCTGTCAAATAAATAAATAAAATCTTTAAAAAAAAAAAAGAAGAATTCTTTTTGGGCAAGATGTGTTATGTTACTTACCCCATCCCTCTACCCTAGTAGATAAGAGCCTCAGAACTGAGAAGAAGAGGGGTGCCTGGGTGGCTCAGTTGTTGGGCATCTGCCTCCAGCTTGGGTCATGATCTCAGGGTCCTGGGATCGAGCCTCTCACTGGGCTCCCTGCTCAGCGGGAAGCCTGCTTCTCCCTCTCCCACTCCCCCTGCTTATGTTCCCTCTCTCGCTGTGTCTTTCTCTGTCGAATAAATAAATAAAATCTTAAAAAAAAAAAAAACTGAGAAGAAGAAAGCAAGTAGAAAAGGGAACTTAGAAGATGGGATCTTGGGATGCCTGGGTGGTTCAGTGGGTTAAGCATCTGCCTTCAGCTCAGGTCATGATCCCAGAGTCCTGGGATCGAGTCCCATGTTGGGCTCCTTGCTCAGCAGAGAGCCTGCCCCCCTCTCCCTCTACCCCTCCCCCTACTTGTGCTCTCTCTTTCTCTCTGACAAATAAATAAATAAAACCTTAAAAAAAAAAACAGAAGGTGGGATCTTGTGGTGATGAGGAAGGGAAGCAGCATTGGGTAGCAGTAGGGACTGTGCCATTAGAGGCCTGATAGGGAGTTGGCCCCCCTAGTGAATGGCAGTAGGAACGGATGAAAGGGTGACTATATATCCCAAGGAAGGCTGGTGCAGAATATATCAAGAGCCCAAGAAGTAGAGACCTCCCCACCACTGCTATTTCAGTCTTGCATTAACTCTAGAGTTCCAGATCAACATGAGGGACATGACGAAGGGAAGAGGTGACTCTTAAATCTGACTGAATTTAACATGAAATCACACACACACACACACAACATTGAATTGACTGAGTTCACGTGGATAAAACTAGACTGTTTTCTGCTCTCAGGAAGAACGGTGACTTAGAAAGAAGTAAGTCCAGATATAGGCAGTGTAAGCTCCAGAACCTTGTCTGTCTTGCTATGGCTGTGTACCTAGCACCTGGCACTAGCACAGTAGCTATTTGATAGGTATCTGTGGAACATATAATTATCCCTTGCAGAAAATAATGCATGATTTAGAATTTTCCTAAGGGTGTTAAGCATCAAAACAAGTTGTGAAATACTGCTTTAAATATTTGACTATTTCGTTTCTTGATCACATGCTACTACTTCCATCTTATTAATGGTGTCTTTTCCCCAACTTCCTCTGCAACCATACCTGCTGAAATCCTCTCTATTCTTCAATGCTCACCTCAAATGGTCCTTCCTCTTTGAAGCTTTTCTCCTCTCACCCCTCAGCTGGAAAAGAATGCTCCCTCTTCTGAACAACAGTGTCTCTGTGTACCTCTTATAGAACTTCTTGGAACTTCTCAAGGTCTATCTTGTATCATATTGTTACAGAATGAATAAGCACACCATGAGCTCTGATCATTCTTTTTTTTTCCTTTTTTTTTTAAAGATTTTATTTATTTATTTGAGAGAGAGAGAATGAGAGAGAGAGCACATGAGAGGGGGGAGGGTCGGAGGGAGAAGCAGACTCCCTGCCGAGCAGGGAGCCCGATGTGGGACTCGATCCCGGGACTCCAGGATCATGACCTGAGCCGAAGGCAGTCGCTTAACCAACTGAGCCACCCAGGCGCCCGAGCTCTGATCATTCTTATCTTCACTCCCCCGCCATCTCTGCAGCACTTTACAGTTATATTTTTTAAAGTAAATATTTACAAAACATGTATTTACATTTTTCCATAGTATGCTTATTTCCCTTCTTTTAATGAACATAAAATATATATGTATAGTTTAACAAATGATTATAAAGTGAGTGCCCATGTAACTTCTCTCCAGGTCAAGAAGTCAAACACTGTTGGGGGGCCTGGCTGGCTCAGTTGGTTAGAGCATGTGACTCTTGATCTCAGGGTCATGAGTTCGAGCCCCATGTTGGGTATAGAGATTACTTAAAAATAAAACCTTTAATAAAAAAAAGAAAAGAAAGCAAACATTGTTAGCAGTTTGGAAGACACCCCCAAACCAGATGCTTTCTCTCTGACCACCCCTTCTTCTTCCACCCAGAATTAAACCAGGGCTGGTATCAAGCCAGCATACTCTGATGAGGTATAAAAGCTTCTGTCTATTTGGATTAGGCAAGGTTTGTGTCATACCAGCTGTTAAAATTTTTGAAGATCATTCCTGTACATAACCACTCTCTTGACTTCTGTGATAATCATTTTGTTGCTTTTCTTTATAGTTTTGCCACTTACAGATGCAGCCATAAATGCCTTTGCCTGTTTTTGAACTTTCTATGAATGACATCATACAGTATTCACTTGTCTTGCTCATTTCACTCAATATTATGTCATGTATGTAGCTGTACATAACTGTCATTTTCATTGATGTGTAATATTTCATTGTATGAACACATCACAATTCATTCATTCTCCTGTTGATGGACATTGGAATGGTTTCAAATATTTGGCTATTATAAATAAAACCTAGTATGGACAGTCTTGTATATGGCTTTTGGTGCACGTATGATTATTTTCTAGGATATGTTATCCTGGTGGAATTACTAGGTCAAAGGTGTTGCAAGTTGGGCTTTCCAGAAACAAAAGCTGAGATGGAGTATTGAGTGCAAGATGTTTATTAGGGACTAACACTTGTGGAAGAAAGGCGAAGGAAGTAGGATTGAGCAGAGGAAGAAGATAAACTGTGATACAAGTCTGACAAAGCTTGAGCTGACTTGGCGTGGAGCTTTGGAACAAGTAGTGCCCATCTGTGTGTTCTGCATCAAACCTCACTTACTCTCCTGCCTTACTCATTCACCTTGGGAAGAGCATGACCTTGGGCAAAGCAACTCTCTGCAGCTAAGGTAGACCCTCAAGGAGCTGGCAGCTGGAGGCTATCTGTTGATGCATTCCCCATACCTGTGCAGAATGTCCTTCCTTGAAGGGGAATCAGAGTGGCATCTCTGTTTCTCTATCACAACTCGTGATAGGGTACATAAGTGTTCCGTTCTAGGTCATAATACCTAACTGGCTTCCAAAGTGGTTGTACAACTTACCCTCTCAGCTGCACTATATGAAAGTTCCTATTGCTTCTCATCCTCGTCAACTCTTGTCATTGTTAATCTTTAAAACATTTTTAGCCATTCTAGTGGATGTGTACCAGTATCTCATTGTGGCTTCAGTTTGCATTTCCCCGATGACTATTGAGGTTAAACACCTCATACGTTTACTGCTTTGTTATGTCTCTTTTATCCACTTGTATTTGTTTTGTCTTCCTTAGATAATGCGCCTTTTTCAGGCAGGAATCAGTGAACACTGCCTGATGTCAATATTTGTATGCCCCTCAACCTAATAATGGTTTTCATATTTTTAAATTGTTCAAAAATCAAGAGAGGAATGATATTCCATTATATGAAATTCAAATTTCAGTGTCCGTAAATAAAGCTTTATTGGAACCCAGCTATTCTCATGTGTTTACCTATTGATTTGGCTGCTTTCATGCTACCACAACAGAGGTTATTGTGACAAAGACCTCAAGGACCAAAAAGTCTGAAATATTTACTATCTGGCCTTTTACAGAAAAAGTTTGCTGATCTCTAGTCTAGGTCACTGGTTCTAAGGTGTGGTCCCTTGGCCAGCAGCATCATTATCACCTGGGAACTTGTTAGAAAGGCAAATTTCGGGGTGCCTGGGTGGCTCAGTCGGTTAAGCATCTGCCTTTGGCTCCAGTCATGATCCCAGGTCCTGGGGTTGAGCCCCACATCGAGCCCCGCATCGAGCCCCGCATCGAGCCCCACATGGAGCCCCACAAGGAGCCCTGTGTCAGGCTCCCTGCTCAGCGGGAAGCCCGCTTCTCCCTCTCCCTCTGCTGCTCCCCCTGCTTGTGCTTTCTCTCGCTCTCTGTCAAATAAATAAATAAAATCTTTAAAAAAAGAGAAAGGCAAATTCCTAGCCATACCCCAAACCTATTCAGAAACTCTGGGAGTGGGGCAAGCCACCTGAATTTTAACAAGCCCTCCAGGTGATGCTGACGTATGTGTTAAAGTTTGAGACCATTGATCTAGGCGCTGGGCAAGGACCTAATCCATTTTCTTTGCGAGCCATCATAGTCCTTCATGTTTTGTTCTACCCATAGTGGGTAAGCTGTAAAAGAGCCTTCAAAAGTGTTCTATAAATATATTTCTATGCATGTGAAATCTGGCCAAAATAGACACCTAGGTCAAAATTAGAGGAGGAAAAGTGGGAGAAACCACAGAGGGCAACATAAAATCTGAAGGATATATGTGGAGGGTGGAGGGCACAATGAAGGCTAGGGAGCCAGCCCCAGTGCCCTCTTCCTTCCACCTCATTTCATGCAGCCTTTTAACAAAGATGAATCAGATATGGTCCCTGTCTCAAGGAGGTCATGTTCTATGTAGGGAAGTGTCCTGATCCTCTTCTCCTTCTTTTACTGCTTCTCTCCAAAACTTACTTTTCAGGAAGTGTAATTGCACCAAATTGCTGACCCTAATAAATGATAATGAACAGAAAAAATTAACTTGGCAGACAACAGTTTTGCTTTATTCTCACTTTAGTTCAGGAATGACTTCCAGACGGACCTTCTCATGTCCTGGCTTTTCCCTTGGTTTAGTCTGCATCACCTTCCTTTTTTTCTTCTTGTTAACGACCATCCATTGAATGCATATTACATGCTAAGACAATGTTAAATGTTTTACATATACTTTTACATTAAATCCTCATAAAGCCACTCTGAGTTAGGTTGTTTTAAAATTGTTATTTTAATTCCAGTTAGTTCTGAGTTACATATTATATCCATTTTAGAGATGCAAATCTGAGGCTCAGAGAAGTTAAATAATTTGGTAGCATTTGAACTCCAAGTCTTTCTGACTCTAGAGCCCAAGTTGGTAATAATTATGCTATTCTGCCTCTAATAATATTCACCATGTGCTTTTAGCAAACCCAATTCAGATTACTTAGCATGTGTTACACGTTTTAGGGCACACTTTGGTGTATAGAATTCCAGGGTGGAAAGTGTTTGAAAAATTGGCTATATCTTTTTTCAGAGCTAGGATTTGTGTGATAATTTTTAAAAGTAGAAAAAACCTTTTACATACAACTTAAAATGATAATGTCAAAAACAGCTCCTTAACCAGGTAACATTATTGTAAATAGCCCAGTAATTTATATTCCTTCTCTTATTTTACACATTAAATAACTGCACTGCACTGTCTCTTTAGTGTGAAACTGTTCTTTCCCTTTTTTGCCTCATCCTGTCTACTAGTTCCTACTCCATCTGTTAGGGATTATTTCAACCTGTGTACTTTTGAGCAATATTTTTCAATTAATCTTTTAAAATGTTACTTATTCATTATATAAGTATAAACACCTTCATCAAGGAAAATTAGAAATAATAAAGGGACAAAAATAAGAAAAAAAGTCACCCATAATCCCACCACCTTGCTACAACTACTGTTAACATTTGGAGTAGAACCTTTAAGACCTTTTCCTTTGTGGAACTCTATTTGTGTAAACAGTTTCTTTCTTCCTTTCTTTCTTGCTTTTCAAAAATGGGATCATTCTATTTTGTTGCTTGCCTTTTTTCACTCAACAATATATTAGGGGCCTCTGTGATCATGACTGCAAAGGAACAGGGAGCAAGGTCACAAATTGGCTCTTACACAATTGGCCTAGAAGAGAGACATCTATTCTACTCCTATCCTATTTGGCAGAATTTGTCATATTGACTTGCCTTGATGAAAACGACCTAGGAAATGAGGGGAGACACATGATTATATAATGTGGAGCTATAAAAAGTCTGAGAAAGACTACTAATCTAATATGGAGTGATCTCCACTATATGTGGAGAACCTGACATAGCCAGGTTTTGGTGTAAAAATGGGAAATACAACCAAAAAGAATACTGAAGTGGCTACTTGTTGGGAGCAGGAAAAAGATAAGGCAGTGTTGTAGTAGAGATTCTATGAGTATATATTTAAACATAATTTCGACTGTTGAGACTCAAATACTTAATTTTTTTCAAATACTTTATATACACATAATGAAACAAATAAAATGAAAAACTTGAAAAACGGAAAACAAAAGATCTATTAGCAGCATATTTCCATGCCAACAGATACGTACTTCCATAATCATCCATAATGATTGTATAGTATTCCATTTATGGATGTTTTGTACAACATTTTGCGAACACTTCCTCTTGCACATTTACGTTGTTTCAGTTAGGTTTTCCCTGACCCTGCACTGTGTCCTGAGTCCCATTACTCTTCTGAGAATTTACTTTGGGTACAAGCCATGCAAGAATCCCAAGTTATTCTCTAACCTCCACCTTACAGCAACTTTTCTGTGGAACTAAAGCAATTATCTGGCTGTGCATACTACCAGAGCCTGAAGAGTGACAGTGTCTCCTCATAAATCCAGAGGGAACACTATGGAGACAGATGGCAGAAATATTTTTAGTAATTTTCTCAATATGATTTCTATTGTCAAGCAGGAAGCCCCGTGAAGAACAGAGAACTTAATAAAGGTGAAGTGGAAAGATGAAGTTTGGAGCCAGCCGGTCTGGGATTTGAATCTGGCTTTTGTCACTAGCTGTGAGACCTTAGATGAGCTATGTAGCCTCAGTCTCCATTTTCTGATCTGTAAAATAGGGATCATAACATTTATTTCATAAAATTACCAGGAGGATTAGCAATATCATATGTCAGGAACCTAGCACAGTGCTAGATGCAATAGTGGGTGCTGAAAAAATGGTTGATGCATACTAGCCATTACGATTACCTTTTCCTTAATATACAGAGCACCAAGGAAATACCACATTTTCAAAAATGCCACTATCATACATGTCTTCAAGAAGAATGGTGAGAAAGTTTACTGCTGTGAACAGAATTGTTACTATAGTTGTAAGCAAGATACTGTGACCAGAATCCTTTGTACCAGCTTCTGAAGAACATTGATAAGTGGGATCACAATGTAGTTTTAAGTCATACTGTGGTTTCAGTGATAAATTCCAGATACAGGATAAGAAAATGAACACCAAGTCTTTGACCTTGCCTTCATGAACTTTATAAAAGTACTTAATACCACCACTGCACACGCATTCTGGCAGCTACTGAATTTGGCTATACAAAATGACTATGGAATAACTTCTGCAATAGTCACAATCTGCCAAAATGGATGTATTGTTCAGTAGACTAAGATTGGTCGAGGTTCTCAAATATAGCTCCAAGGTCCTCTATAAAATTTTGCTTTATTCTCCTACCTTACTGGAGTATAGCAATTAAAGACCATTTCAAATGAAAAGACAAAATAGGAGGAAGTAGTAGCAGATAGAGCAAGGTGTTGAGTAGGTTCAGAAATGAGGTGACTCTTGTTGAACAAAGTCTACAGATCATGAATTTTAGGCAGATTTGCAAATAAGGATAGCACATGCTCTGTAAATAGCAGCTGTTGCCACAAGCCAAAGGGCAATATTTACATGAATCCTGAAGCAAGGTCTATGGACCAAGCATTGACCTTTCCAGCCAAACTCATTACTTGGTAGCACTTTCATCCACGTCATCCTGAAAAAGTAAGGATCACATTATACATACATGGAAAATTGCCAACATACAAATATGTTCTGTCCCCCATATTAATTTCTAAATTATTTTTTTGGAACTTGGAATACATTTCCACAGAAAAGGTATTATAAAGGGATGTGAGTTTCCCAGATGTCCTCACAAAATGCATTTAGCCCACAATGTAACCCAAATACCCTACACTGGCAATGAGAAATACAATGTAACAAAGAATCTTCACTAGCAGGAACACAGAGTACAAAACAAGTATTTACTGACCCCCTTTTCCTTTGAAGCCCCAGGCAAGGAAAGGGGAATTCTATCCTCTTATAGCTATAGTTTGGTGAAAAAGAAATCTTCCATTCTGCTTGTCTAGGAGGATCCTTCTCAAGTCAGGTGGATGCATGCATTGCAGCATCCTTTGCTTTCAGTCCTTCCTGAACGGAATTCCCCACCAAACGACTTTTAATGACTGAGGAGACAGAACAGGTGGTGGGGAAGGGGTAGGACGTCTAACTGGAAGTCTCAAGCTTTTATTTGGAGACAGTTCAAACTCTGTAGCTCATTCCTTAATACGTCTGCACGTTTAATAGAAAAAATAGTGTTTCAAGTGATCAGTTAAGTGACTTAATTCCGTCTCACGTTTTGACTAAGGTTGACGCTCCAGAAATATGAACCATTGTTATACTGAGACTCCCTATACCCATTGCATAGTACACAGGTGTACTTCAGGATGGGAAACAAGGGCAAATGATAAGAACATAATGAAAGTAAAATCAGAGCAAAGCTAGCACCACCAGTCTCAGTGGCACACTCCTTCAGTCACCAGTGTCTTGCTCTTTTCCTCTAAACACTTCTCTGTGTTTCTGTGTAAAACCAGTCCCTGGACAGGATCTCACACTCCTTCACACTAAGGTGTAAATGACCAATAGTAGCTAAAATGTCACAAGGGTTTTGCATACCAGGGAGTGGCAGCTTTAAAACAAAAAGGATTTAGGCTACTATCTCCAGGAAAAAGAGATTTGGGGGGCAATTGTGTGCCTTCCTTCCATTCACAGAAATCATAGTTGATTTTAGTTGGTAATTTAGGAAGGTGTGTTGAGGGAAAGTAATCATTTCTTTACTCTTTGAAAAGCATTTGCTTCACTTTGGAAATTGCAGATTTTGTGATTGTTGTTTGGTCTACTGTTTTTGGCATGTTTTGCTGTCTTTCCTCCCTAATGACTGAATTTAAAAACTAAGATGTAAATCTTCCCATAATTGATCAAAATAAATAGTGAGAAATAAAAACAATAATATTTAATAATTGACATTGCATACTGTCCCACCCTTTACAAAATGCTTTTATATCCATAATCATGCATATTATTGGTATTTAATTACTACTTAATAACAGAGGTACAAAAAGAACACGCACCAAAAAACTCACAGTAATTCAATCCAATTACAAATATTGGGTACCTACCATGATTTGCCCCAGGTTCTGTGAGTCCCTTGACCTTGTCTCCCTGCAGGAGTTTTAAAATTCAGTGGTGAAGGCAAAAGGCAAAAGAAGGGCCCCTGCACATTGGCCATCTGAGAAGTATCAGAGTTGCAAATAGAGCAATATACATAAAACCCTAGAGTCATGCTTTGCCTTGTAAGAGAATGTTTGCAGCTGCAATCAGGAGATTCAAGGAGTGCTTCTCCTTCTGCAGAATTTACAAAGGTGGGAATAGCACCACCAATCCCCCTTTCGAGATCTGGGAAAGGGCAGTCCCCAGAGGGGTTCTGGGCTTTGCAAATGGTGAGAAAGACCTTTTGCAGTGCAGTTACAAGCAGAGGAAAAGTTCTTTGTGCAAGAAGGGGAGAGCGCCCTGAGGTACAAAGAGCAGATTTAAGGGAAAGAGGATTCCTTCTGCACACATCTGCGAGGGGAGCTCAGGCTGACTGTTGGGGGCGTGTGGGAAAGGAGATTTTTAGGGAGCCGCGGGCTTGTGGGTTCCCGCCTCTACCCCAGTCCGCGCCCCACACTCAGGCAACAGTTGGTCGTGCGGGGCCGGCCCGGGCTCTGGGTGGGGAGGGGGAGTCTCGCGATCGTTGAGGGGGGGTGGAGGAAGGGGGGAGGGTGACGGGGGGGAGGCCATGACGTAGGGTGGGTGGACGGAAGTGGGGCAGGGTTGAGGGTTATTTAAAGAAGGGGGGGCTGAGCGAAGGGGTTGGAAGCGGAGTGATTCCCCACCCCTGCTCCATCTAGCTCTTTCCAGTGCAGCCACTGCCGCCGCCCAGGAGCCCTCGTCCCCTTCCTCGTCCCCCTTCTCGTTCCCGCTCCAACGCCATGGAGCCGGACTCCGCTGCAGTGGCAGCCGCCGTGGCAGCCGCTAATGCGACCGCCACAATCGTGGTCATAGAGGACGAGCAGCCGGGGCCATCCACCTCTAAGGAGGAGGGAGCGGCCGCCGCAGCCACCGAAGCCACCGTGGCCACGGAGAAGAGCGAGAAGAAGAAGGAGGTAAATAGGAAGGGGGTGTGTGTGTGTGTGTGTATTTGGTGAACAAATTCTGAGCCGGGCCCCTCCGAGGGGCCCAAGCCCTGACCTTTCGGCGCCGACAGGTACCGGCGGAGCTCCACGGGGATGGGGGCCGAGGGCGCGCTGGGGGTGGGGGACGGCGGAACAGTCTAGCATTCGCTCCCCTCCCCCTTTCCTCCTTGCCGCCTGGAGGGCGGGGGCGGGGCTGGGCGCGGCGCGGGGTGGAGGGTGCCCGTTATCCCGGGAGTTGGGGGCTTTGGAGCCCCTGGACAGCCCCCGGCCCCATTCACATTCCCGGAACTGGGGTAACAGGGTGGGGGATGGGGCTGTGCAGGAAAAAGCCTCCGCCTCTCCCTCTCCTCTCGTTCGCTCCCTCTCCCCCCCCTTCCCGTCGGCCTCTGCCTGGGAAATCTGGGCCCTTCAATCCCACACCCGCGCAAAAGGGGTTCTGCTGGGGCTTATTTTTTTAAATTTGAATTTTAAGGTGCTGGTGGTTGGGAGGAGGAGGACGATAGGAGAGACTTGTTTTTTTGAATGACAATGTCGGCCTTTTAGGTGGCAGCAAAAAAATCATCCCTTGTTCGTTTGGTCCCGCCTGCTGAAGCGGGGGTGTCACCCCGAGAAAATGAGCTCTCCGCGTCCTACCCGCCCCCCCCCGCCCGCCATCCAAACCCCAAACTGAGGAATCGTGGACGCTGGCTTAGGAAAATTTCCAACGTGTGCACCCTCACCCTCTCCTGCCCCGCCCCCGACGGTATAGTGTTTCACTCTGGGGCCACCCAAATGGTCCCCCAATGGGGCCCCAAGCCTTCCAGGCTTCCGCCTCCCTCTCCTAGTGGGCGCTGCTGGCTCCTGGACACACGCAGGGCTTTTTATTTTTATTTTTATTTTTCTTTAACCCAGCGTCGATAAGATGAACTGCTAACATACATAAGGGGACCGCTCAGATACCTTATTAAAGCCAAATCTAGAAAATATGTATTATCTCCATAAGGCATCTCTCATATGGACCAAGACATGCAAATGAAACTATGAAACACGTTCAAAATTTGAAATGAAAAATAGGATGGGACATAAGGATTGTTGATGTATAATAAAATTGTAGAATGCTTTTATGGGTGGATTTTTTTCCATTTACGAGTAGACCTATCACAATTAAAAAAAAATGGTAGGTAATTAAAATTATGCTTTAGAGATCTCAAGTGGCTTTGTCTGAATCATTACCTGATATCATACGACCAAATGAAAAGCTTTTGAGGGAAATTAACAGCTTTTGCCATGCATTAATTTTAAATGCAGCAGTTGTTTAAGTGACATTTTACTGTTACAAGGTTGACTAAACAGAAAGACAATTGTAGTGCTAAGTGAAAACCGTAGAAAACATGCACATTTTAAGATCTTTGTGGTACTTGGATCAGTGAGACAATATTGTAAAGATGGGTCAAATACCAAGTATCAATATAAAATCAAATATTGGGGAATTCAGACATGAGTCTAGGTGCCTTTTATTCCCTAGACTGGGCAAATGTAAGGGCTAAACTATCTTTTTATGGCAGTGTGAATTTTTTGAATTGTGAAAAGATTGGGAATTAATAAAAAACCTATGTAACAAACACTGAATTGATACATAGCTATTCATGAATTCTGTAACTTCATCAGAAATTGCCTAATAATACCTCATTTGTCTGCTCAGCATAGGGAAATGAGGTGTTGCATGGCAGGAACTTTTTGAATACCTGAAGTTTATTACTCTAGTCACCGCATCTTTTTTATTTTTCCTGAAAAATCTAAAGAGTACCAAACCATCTACTTAAGTTCTTTCATTTGTGTCATTCCTTCAAATAAAGTAATTTGGCACCCCCCCCCCCCCCCCCCGCCAAATCTAAATACATCACTCCCTTGACTCCTTAAGTGATGTACTGAAAGTGCAGATTAACGTGTTCCTCATGTTCATTAGTTGTTGTACTCTGGAAGTGATACAAAGGCATTTGAGGTGCTGTTTCCCCTCAAATAACCACTTCCCAGACAGTTCCAGTATTGTGTTGATTTTCTTAATGATTTTTCTCTCTCCTTCTTCAATTGTCAGGCTGTTAGCTATCATTTTTTACTACTTTCATCAGAAAGAATTTATAATAAAGGACATAGATGTTATAAAACCATAAAACCATTTAAAACAACTGTAAAAATACAAAAAGACAAAAGTACAAGTGATGCAGGCAGAGGGAAGTAATCACACCAATAGTAAGGAAAAGGGATGTTATTGCGGTGGAACTCATGTTGTAGTCCTGGGCTTCTGCCATCCCTTCCTGCTGTTTACATTGTCCCTTCTTCTAGTGGTCTTTCCCATGTCATTTGCTGCTGCTTTTCTCTGTAGTATGGCAAGCCAGATTATCGAACTTGCTAGAATTGTGTATCAGATAAAAGAAAATTGGCTCTGAAGAAGAGCATTTTGTGATGCATAATTAGTAGATTGACTTGTGACATTCAGCGACAGAAAGGTATTTTTGCTTGTCTTCTGGTTCTTGAACTTACTTGGGTTCAAGTGATAGTTGGATAACCTAACACTGGAAGTTGGAGTTGGTATTTTTGGTAATGAAAACATCAAGAAAGAGGTCATGGTCTTGAAGACAGGGCATCCTGATGACCTTGTGCTGTATTCTCTTGGCATCTAAACTACCAGATAATAAAATCTATAAGAAATTGGGGTGCGTGGGTGGCTCAGTCGTTAAGCGTCTGCCTTCGGCTCAGGTCATGATCCCAGAGTCCTGGGATCGAGCCCCGCGTCGGGCTCCCTGCTCAGCGGGGAGTCTGCTTCTCTCTCTCCCTCTGTCTACCACTCTGCCTACTTGTGTTCTCTCTGTCAAATAAATAAATAAAATCCTAAAAAAAAATCTATAAGAAATTCATTAGAATATCTTAGTCACTTTTTATCTTGTGTGAGAAGTGTATTTTTGAAAATATACAAAGGAGAAGGTTTAGAAGGTAGGTGTTTTAAAATTTGTTGTGGAAGATAGTGCCAATTAAGTAATTACCCACAGCTTTTAATAGCACTGCTCAAGATTAGGAATTTTAATCAGCATATAATTAAATTTTATGGTATTCTACCACAAGGTAGGCAAGAGTATTGAGTGAAATTTTTTCTAATTAAAGCTTTAATTTTTCCATAAGTAAAATCTATGTCCCACATTATTAGATATACACTTGTGTATATGAGGGGAAGTAATTTTGACTGTTTTGAAAGCTAGAAAGCTACATATAGCTTTTCAGGTAATGATAAAGGTGTGATTTTTTTTTTTTTACCCAATTTTCCTTTACTTGTTGCTTTGAAAATAAAATCAGATTTATAGTATATGTGACAGTTTGAAAGTGTGGGATTGAGAGAATTTTAGCAGTTTTCTATTCTTGCCCATCCAGGATTACATTCAAAACATCCCACATAGATGATATATACATATGAGGTGCTTAAGTCAAGATGGCTATTATTTGGGTTAAGAATAACTGAACAGTATCTGATCAGTGCTTCAAAGTAGAACCCTGACAAGGGTCAAATTCCATAATCTTCGTTTGGATTTTCTCAAATTAGAAATTTCAGTAAATGTTGGTAGACATACTCATGAACTATCGGAGTCATGTCTTTTTTTTTTTTTTAAAGATTTTATTTATTTGACAGAGACACAGCAAGAGAGGGAACACAAGCAGGGGGAGTGGGAGAGGCAGGCCTCCCGCAGAGCAGGGAGCCCGATGTGGGGCTCAATCCCAGGACCCCGGTCTCATGACCTGAGCCAAAGGCAGACGCTCAACGACTGAGCCACCCCGGGGTCCTGTCTTTCTTATGTTTAAGATCACATTCTGTTGTTGATTTAGGACCTAAGTTTTCAGAAACTGGTTGACAAAAGCCATGATAAAATGGACATAATTTCTTTAGTTTTCACAAACATTTGTGTTTTGACTTGTACAAAGTCTGTGTTAAAAATGAAATACTCTTGGCTCTGGTACTAAGGTGTAGATTTGTGTTTTTATTATTTTATTTCTCCATTTCTTACAGGGAAGGAGGTATATTTTATATGCCTATTTATATTTACAAGTACAAGCTTATCTTTACTAAGGATGGCATTCATGAAATCACCCTCCAGATAATTTCAGTATTTTTAAGAAGCTGATTTATGCCAGTTTTCACTAAATTACAACTTTTTAAATATCAACGGTTAATAGTTGATAGCATTGAGAAACTGCTTCTACAAAATGTTTATGTAATATGGTTTAAAATACTTTTCTTTCCAGTTGGAGAAAATTAACATAAATCAAAAGTTTGAAACTGTACTGTTTTATTATTTAAATAGAAATGAACACATTGCATTATATAAAAAAGTTTAAATGTTCTGATTAGAATATGAAAACAATAAAAAGTGTCTTTTCAGGAACAGAAACCACAGTCTTCTTCTGAAAGTCTGGCTTATTTCCATTACATAAAGAAGTGTTTCTGAGAATTAATATTTACTTTCCTTGAATTTTTTGGTTTGTGATTGATAATATTAGCATATTCTAGATTTTAAATCTTCTATTCAATGGTTATATGCTTTTTTATGCTTTAAATTAAAAAATAGGTGAAAAGGCTTGATGTTTCACCTTTTGGTGTTTATTTTAATTAATGTTATTTCTCTGGTCTTAAGAATTCAGATTTTTTTATTGGACCTCAGGTGCACAGAACTGGATTAATTATAAGCCCTGCTTCATGACATGCTCTCATCATTGGTCTATGTGTGGCCCATGTTCATTTATTTATTTAGTATTTAATTACTTTTTACTTTCTTCAAATGAAAATGTTGACCACTTTTAAGATATTGCTTTGTAATTTGATGGCTTATTTTTTTTTTTTTTTGTAATTCTAGAAAAATGTTTCTTTGTTTCAACTCAAACTTGCTGCTAAAGCTTCTAAATCTGAAAAGGAAATGGACCCAGAATATGAAGAGAAAATGGTAAATATATTCTTGGGTAGGATAGTGAATACTGTAGTTGATTTTTTTCTTATTGAAGTATAGTTGTTACTTAATCTTACATTAGTTTCACCGTAGTTGATTTTTACAGAGGAGATGTGAAAAACTGAAAAAATTCATGTGTGTGTATAATGAATACAGGATCATAGATTTTAGAATTGGAAAGTAATTTAATATATAATCAGTCATAATAGATTTTTAAAAAAATATTTTTTTTATTTGAGAGACAGCACAAGCCAGCGGGAGGGGCAGAGGCAGAGGGAGAAGGACAAGCAGACTTCCTGCTGACTGGGGAGCCTAATGCGGGACTCGGGGCTCGAGGCTTGATCCCAGGACTCCGAGATCATGATCTGAGCCAAAGTCAGATGCCCAACCCACTGGGCTACCCAGGCAGCCTCATCATAGTAGATTTTGTTGAATAAATGAATCTCTTTGTTTTCAGATGAGAAAATAAGGATCAGAGAAACTATATGGAATAGTTGGGAACAGAAGTCATATCTCTACACTTTTGTTCAGTGCTCTTTATCCCATAATAAGATTTTTTTTTTAAATCTCTCTCTCTTTTTTTAAAGATTTTATTTATTTATCTGAGAGAGAGAATGGGAGACAGAGAGCATGAGAGGGGGAGGGTCAGAGGGAGAAGCAGACTCCCCGCCGAGCAGGAAGCCCGGGACTCAATCCCGGGACTCCAGAATAATGACCTGAGCCGAAGGCAGTTGCTTAACCAACTGAGCCACCCAGGCGCCCCCCATGATAAGATTTTTAAAAAGATTTTATTTATTTGTGAGAGAGTGTAAGAGAGAGTGTGAGGGGGGTGGAGGAGGGAGAGGGCGAGGGAGAAGCAGACTCCCTGCTGAGCAGAGAGCCCAATCCGCCATTCGCCTCGATCCCAGGATCCTGGGATGATGACCCGAGCCAAAGACAGACGCTTAAGTGACTGAGCCACACAGCTGCCCTTAAGATGTTTTTTTTTAAAGATTTATTTATTTATTTGACGGAGGGGGAGAGGGAGAAGGAGAGAATCCTCAAGCAGATTTCCTGCTGAGTCCAGAGCCCAGTGTGGGGCCCCATCCCAGGACCCTGAGATCATGACCTGAGCCGAAATCAAGAGTTGGACACTTAACTGATTGAGCCACCCAGGTGCCCCAGATTTTCTTTTCTTTTTCTTTCTTTTTTTTTTTTTTTTAAGATTTATCCATTTATTTGAGAGAACAAGGCGCACAAGCAAGCTGGGGGAGGGGTAAAGGGAGAGGAGGAGAGAGAATCCTCAAGCAGACTCCCCACTGAGTACAGAGCCCAGAGTCCAGACTCGGGGGCTGGATCTCAGGACCCCAAGATCACAACCCAAGCCAAAACCAAGAGTCAGATGTTCAACTGACTGAGCCACCCTGCCACTTCCATCATAAGATGTTTTATGCTAAAAATAAAAATATTGGCTGAAAGAAAGCAGGTCGCAGAGCCAGACTGATATTTTTTTCTTCCTCTCTTCTTGCTTTGAATATATTAATGAATGTTACGCATTGTAAAACATAATATAGTAACACATTTTCTGGAGGACATTTGCCTGGTACCTGGAAATATTACATATTTAAGCAGTATAATCTCAGTGATGCCCACCTACTGCTTTGCCATATATTTAATTTAATTTTTCATTTTAAAAAAATTTTTATTCACTAAAATCCATATTTTAGTTTTCATTTTAGTTGGAACTGAACTTTTTTGTTGAGGGGTTGTTTTTGCAGTAATATTATAAAAATGAGTAGAGATGAAGTATATTTTTTGGCTGCTCATAGTGATTTTACCAAAATCCATGCCTAAATGTCTAAGGTCACATCTAACGCAGACAGTTAATGTTTTAACAACTCTAAAAACAACATTCCAGTGAGGATAACATAAAATGGAAAAGTTTTGGCCTCCTTCCAATTTCTGGTCTGAATATATTTGTCTAATTCTTGTGTTTATGTTAATGAACTCTTGTACGTTTCTGGTGTTATTAATTATGCAACCTTCATTAGCAATCAAATATTCTCTACCCTGTGGTCAGAAAGTGATTGGGAATTAAAAAATAATTTTCATTTTTTTCTTTATCTAGAATGATGTATACATCTTTTGGTCTTCTAAGATTTTTTAGTGAAGTTTTATTTCACTAATGTGGTATAAGTTTTATGTCCTTTTACAATTTATTGAGAAATTATAATACATACCAATTTTTTTTAATACATACCAATTTTTAATAGTTAATATACATTAACTGTTTTACTTACGTGTGTGTATATATTTTTCCTCCAAATCCTGCTCACTTTGGAGACATACTTTTTATATTATTAGCATAAAGTGCAATTTTCCAGGGGCACCTGGGTGGCTCAGTCAGTTAAGTGTTTGACTTTGGCTCAGGACATGATCTCGGGGCCCTGGGATCAAGCCCCACATCGGGCTTTGTGCTTGGCGGGGAGTCTGCTTGTCCTTCTGCCCTTTTCCCCACTCTTGCACTCTCTTTCTCTCTCTCTCAAATAAATAAAATCTTTAAAAAAGTGCAATTTTCCAGATCATTGTAATTGAAGAGAGAAATATTTATTACATTATTGTACCACACATTCACAATATTTTGAGAGAGGATGACACTGTATTCTAAGATGTTAATAATTATTCCTAGATGCAACTTGAAAATTCTTAAGAGTTCAGTTTATGGTATATGTATATCATAGCTAATAATTTATATTTCTGTATTTAGGATATATTATATATTATGATGCTTTATTTTGTTCACTAGGAAAAGAAAATTGTTATGTTTTGGGAAGAGGATTTGCTTTTTGGCCCTGACTCTTTTTTTTTTTTTTTAAGATTTTATTTATTTATTTGAGAGAGAATGAGAGAGAGTGAGCACATGAGAGGGGGGAGGGTCAGAGGGAGAAGCAGACTCCCTGCCGAGCAGGGAGCCTGATGCGGGACTCGATCCGGGACTCCAGGATCATGACCTGAGCCGAAGGCAGTCGCTTAACCAAGTGAGCCACCCAGGCGCCCCTTGGCCCTGACTCTTTAAGCAGGGTACTTTTTATTGGGGCATTTACTGCTTTTAAATCACTTGGCTTCTATTCAAACTATCTGAAAATGCCATTTTCAAATTCTGCTTACTAGCTGTGGGAACTTGGGCAAGTTAGTTACCCTCTCCGTGCTTTACTTTTATCATCTGTAAAATGGAGAGAATATTAGTACCCACCTCATAAGTTTACGAAGAGAATTAAATGAGTTAGTATGTTTAAAGTGCTTAGAACATAGTACAAAGTAGAAGGGCAATATAAGTCTTTGTTAAATAACCTTGAATACGAAAGAAAATCATTACTTTTTCTTTTGTTTCGTACATTAGAAAGCAGACCGAGCAAAGAGATTTGAATTTTTATTAAAGCAGACAGAACTTTTTGCACATTTCATTCAACCTTCAGCACAGAAATCTCCAACATCTCCTCTGAACATGAAATTGGGACGTCCTCGAATAAAGAAAGATGACAAGCAGACCTTAATTTCTGCTGGAGAGTACGTTGGCATCTCTCTCTACTTTATTCCCTCTCTTCCTCCTGTCCCCACCTCTCCCTCCTCTTATATTCTCATTCCCTTTTTACTTACTCAGTATAATTCTGTATTAAAAAAATAAGGTTATTGTCAGTGTAAGTAAGTTTTGGAAGCAACTATTTTTTCTCACTAGAAATCAATAAAAATGTACGCTGGTTCTACCAACTTCTAAGCAAGACCTTAGATAACCCATTTTTTTTTCATGACAGACATTAGCAATGTGTAGTGACTTAACTGACAGCTTAGCATTTGGGTTGAATATAAAGGTATTTGTTTTCATTTCAGCTACCGCCACAGGCGCACAGAACAAGAAGAAGATGAAGAGCTACTCTCAGAGAGTCGGAAAACATCTAATGTGTGTGTTAGATTTGAGGTGTCACCTTCATGTAAGTATCTTATTATGTTGGTATTTTTTTTCCAATTTGGTTTTAGAAAAATTATATACTTGATTATATATTTTTAAAGGTTTTATTTATTTATTTGAGAGAAAGAGCGCGCATGAGAGAGCACGAGGAGGGGGACAGAGGGAGAAGCAGACTCCTCACTGAGCAGGGAGCCACACCTGGGGCTCGATCCCAGGACCCCAGGATCATGACCTGAGCGGAAGGCAGATACTTAACCAACTGAGCCACCCAGGCACCCCTGTAGTTGATTGTATTAATGAAAGTATGAGATGTCTTGATTTCTTTTTCAGATGTGAAAGGAGGACCACTGAGAGATTATCAGATTCGGGGGCTGAACTGGTTGATCTCTTTGTATGAAAATGGAGTCAATGGTATCTTGGCAGATGAAATGGTAAGGAGTTGATAGCTAAAAACACAGTCTCAGTTATCAATTTTTATGTAAATTTGAAATACCTGAGCTGTATTGTCCCCCTGAGGCCTGGAGGCTAATTGCTTTATTTAGTTATAATGTAAAAGACATTTGTAAAGTCTAGAATTGTTTCTTTAAGTAATCTCTAGAACATATACTTTCACAGGCTACAAATTCTTAGTGCGATTTCCTCATATGGTTTAAAAAACCTCCTTGTACTTTTGTTTTTGTTTGCACTTTGGCTTCCAGGAAACTCAGAGCCGAAATGAATGCCAAAATGGAGACCCTGTGTAACATAATGGCCAGCCCATTGTGCCTTTATGCCTTTTTCTATTCTATACCTTCTAATCTTCCCTTGGCCCTTCTTTATTTCTATTTTACCATTAATTTATGTTCCATGTTTTCATTGTAGGCCACCTGAAACATATTTTCTTTGTAGGCGACCTGAAATCCTTTTGGTAATGAAGTGGGGGTATATAAACCAAACACTAAATGAGTGCATGAATAAACCAAACAATAAATGATGAAACCATGAATGAATGCATGTAAGCACCTCAATGTGTGAGCATTCAGAAAGTGACTAGATGGAATAAAAAAAAAAAAGTAAAGAGCAATGTTGAGTCCTGATATAGCAGAGTACCAGGTGGGACCTGGGAAGTAAGCTAAGGAATGATGGGCATATAAATAAAATGACCAAAGAGAAAAAGTAAGACCATTTAAGATGCTAATTCAGCAGATCAGGGGAGTACATGAAGGCCTACATTGGTATTTTAAGACCAAATGAGTAAGATGGGATTTAAGAGAGGGCGCGGGGGGGGGGAGTTCTAGATTTTTATGACCCAGTGATACTCCTATATATGTGACTCTGGAGCCATATTTACATGACTATTTATGCTAAGTAACATGTAGTGTAGTAGTTGATCCCATAGATGCTGAGCAGCTGTTAGGTGTGTGGCAGGAGGTCCTTTAAATCAAGGGTCTGTAGGTCCTTATATTTAGTATTCTGGATTGGAGACTACAATTAACTCAAAGGGGGAGGAGCTTGGTTAATTGGATAACAGAAAGACCAGGATTATTTGCCCCAAGCTCCTCTTGGCTGCAGCCTGTCTAAAGGATCTAAAGAGCCTTCATACTGAATTTATGCTGATACCAGATACTTTTTGATTATTAAAAAAGGGAAAGATACTTTAATAAGGAGTATAGAAAATTTGGAAAAAATTCAAGAAAAAAATTGAAAGTAAATTATAATTATGCTACCTAGAAATAGTTGACATTTTGGCATATTTCATTTTAGTATTTTAACTCCAGATGTGTTTATTTTACATAGTTGCGATCATATTGTATGTATAATTTGGTATTCTGATTTCTTCATATTCATACATTTTTTTACATAATTCAAATATTTGTAAAAGTAATTATTAATTACTCTATAACAATTAATCCTGGAGAGTTACCATAGTTCTATTCATCTCCTCCCTTATTGCGGGTCATTTGGATTGATGTGTAGTATGTAGTATATGTTTCGTATATTTAGTATGTATGGGTTGATATATATGTACATATGGTATGTAATAATACTGTTGTAAGAACCCTTGTAATTTAGTTTTCCTGCACCTTTCAAATTATTTCCATGGGATTCCTAAAAATGGAATTACTTGATTAAGGAATTTTAGATATTTTAAGGTTTTGATGCATCTCATTAAGTGAAATATTAGATGGGATAAATCCTATAAAAATAGTTTAAGCCTAGGTTTATAAATGCAAATATATACCTTGCATAGAGATAAAGCCAGAAACTCTTTTATTTTTTATTTTTATTTTTTTTAAAGATTTTATTTGTTTGACAGCATGGGAGAGCACAAGCAGGGAGAGCAGGAGAAGGAGAGGGAGAAGCAGGCCCCCTGCCCAGCAGGGAGCCTGATGTGGGGCTCGATCCCAGGACCCTGGGATTATGACCTGAGCTGAAGGCAGACGCTTAACCATCTGAACCACCCAGGCGCCCCCAGAAACTCTTTAATTTTAAAAGACCACACAGCATAGAACATTGTTCCCTTTCTCATCAGTTAGGTGGTGGGTTCGTGGTGTTCAATATGCTATTTTTTTTGAAGATTTTATTTATTTATTTGACAGATAGAGACATAGCAAGAGAGGGAACACAAGCAGGGGGAGCGGGAATGGGAGAAGCAGGCTTCCCGCCAAGCAGGGAGCCCGATGCGGGGCTCAATCCCAGGACCCTGGGACCATGACCTGAGCCGAAGGCAGACGCCCAACGACAGAGCCAACCAGGCGCCCCTCAATATGCTATTTTTTAAAAAGTTCACCAGACCAGGTGATCTCTAAGGCCCTTTCTGGCTGCAGAGTTCTTTTATGTTCTGTTCTTTTATGGTTCCATAGGTCTTCAAGGGTGTGAGATGCAAGTACAGAGAGCCACAAGTCCCTTGAGATGCATAGTTTGAATATTTCATGTCTGGGCTATAATAATGTTGGGGGCAATGGGAAAGAAAGACCAGTATCTAAGCAGGCTGATAAGGGAAATGAGTGCGAAACGCATACACATGAAATCCCTAATTTTGCCTTTAGAAAAAATTATAAAGTAGACTGCTTGCTCCTTTAAGAAGAGCAACAAAGCAGCTTTCTACCTGCAAGTCCCTGGTTTCTTTTTGTGCACACAGTAAGTACAAATTGGAATGGTTATTCACTTAAAAAAACAAAGGTCTTTAAATTTTTCCCTATGTGACATAGTTGACAAATGTCTTTTGTAATGTTATTACTAACAAAATGTTTCATTAAATAAACACGGATTTTTTTCTTTGTAATGGTAATGCAGGGTCTTGGTAAGACTTTACAAACGATTGCTTTGCTTGGTTACCTGAAACATTACCGAAACATTCCTGGACCTCACATGGTTTTAGTTCCAAAGTCTACTTTATACAACTGGATGAATGAATTTAAACGATGGGTCCCATCTCTACGTGTTATTTGTTTCGTCGGAGACAAGGATGCGAGAGTAAGTGAGAAATAAGTTTAAAGAGGCCATCAAGAATAACATCATTTCTGGGGTTAAGTTGCCTACTATTACCATAAAAGACATTGAAGTTGACTGCTACTAGTAAATAACTCTACGTTAAGGCTCTGTTTAAGTGCTTTTTATATATTAATTAATTCTCACAACACTCCTGTGAAGTAGATGTGTTACTTATTAATAACAGACAATCCATTACTATGCTTATCTGCATTTAATTTCAACTAGGTCATTAACCTCAGCGTTTTTGAGTTGCATTTTAAATATCTTTTTATAAAAAAAGTCCTTATTGACAGTGTATCTTATCAGTGACTCTATCAGTTGTGCTATTTGACTCCAAAACTGTAATTTTGCATGACTTAATTTTTTATGTTTATTTTTTTTATTTTTGACTTTGACTTGGTATACATGCACACATGTGTGTGCTTACACACATGAATGGAACCTTCTCTATTTGTATGGAGAGCATTGTGTTTTGTGTTTATGCATAGACACAACTTTCAGTTTGGTCTTTGAATAGAAAAATATATATCTGCATACATTCTTAGATATTAGAAATTCTGGGCTCTTGCTTAAATTAGCCATTTGTCAATCTAGTAGGCTACAATTATTTAGGACTGTAGAATTAATCTAAAATAAATAAATTATGCAAAAATATCAAAATGAATAATCAGCTTAGAAAGCATATTATTAAACTTTGCCTTTATTTTGCCTCCAGAGGACATAGTTTAAAGATTTATTCTATTTTACATATTTAGATAGGCTATCAAAAGATATTCTCAAAAGAATGGTAGCATAATGAATTATGTAATTTTATTATCATTTTGCTTGAAGAAAAATTACTTAAATTTATTTAAATTTAACTTATAAATAATTTAAATATTGAAATACTGAGCTCATAAATTTAGAATTATGGGCTTGATTCTTCCCTATGCCTAATATTTCCCAGTGGCAAATTAGTCAGTTAGAACTCTTTCTAATCACTGATGTTCTTTCCTTTTTAAAAAAGATTTTATTTATTTATTTATTAGAGAGAGAGAGAAAGAGCACGAGTGGGGGGGAGGGGCAGAGGGAGAGGGAGAAAGAGAAACAGACTTCCTGCTGAGCTGAGAGCTAGACACAGGGATTGATCCCAGGACCTGGAGATCACGACCTGAGCCAAAGGCAGACACTCTCAGGTGCCCCTCACTGCTGTTCTTTGATGTAATACCACTCCTTATAAAACTTTGCATTTCTAAAGTACTGATTTTTGGCTGAAATTATTTCTTGAAGGTCATAAGCAAAAGAGAAATATCTACGCTTGTGTTTCCAGGTATCTCAGTAAAACTGTCAGTGGTTTTCAACTATATTATATGGAATCCAAGGATTTAATGAAGTATTTCTTCGAGGTTTTTTTTTTATAAAGATTTTTATTTATTCACTTGAGACACAGAGAGAGAGAGAGAGAGAGCATGAGCAGGGAGAGAGGCAGAGGGAGAGGGATAAGCAGGCTCCCTGCTGAGCCAGGAGCCAGATGTGGGGCTCGATCCCAGAACCCTGGGATCATGACCTGAGCTGAAGGCAGATGCTTAACCATCTGAGCCATCCAGGCACCCCTAAAAGAAAAAGTGGATGTATTTAATTTGTGACTCTATCAAGCCAAGTAATGCTTGGCTCTTGGCTCTCTACCCCATGGGAGGTTGGGATTTTACTGGCAGCTTCAAAAATTTTTTAATCTTGAAAACCAGTCTTCAAAGTCAGTGTTTTTCATATTGCCACTCATTAATATTGGGAATTCATGTTGGTGGAGACAAGAATTTTTTAAAACACTGAGACACAAAAGATTGGAAAATGGCAGTGTTTCACTCATGGTGGGGATAGGTACTGCTCCTTTTTTTTTTTTTAAAAGATTTTATTTATTTATTTGAGAGAGAGAGAATGAGAGACAGAGAGCATGAGAGGGAGGAGGGTCAGAGGGAGAAGCAGACTCCCTGCCGAGCAGGGAGCCTGATGCGGGACTCGATCCCGGGACTCCAGGATCATGACCTGAGCCGAAGGCAGTCGCTTAACCAACTGAGCCACCCAGGCGCCCATGTACTGCTCCTTTTTTTAAGGATTGTAACCTAAACTATAATTTTACTGTGGTCCATGGGCAAAAGAGTTTGCAAACTGGTAATTATTAATAACATAAATAATGTACTATATTCAACATTTAGAGATTGATGTCAGTATGCATAGTGAAAATCCAGATTATTACTTATAGACAGATTTGAATCTTGGTACCACATGGGATAGATATATTGGGTCTTTATAGTTTCCTGGCCTTTTGTAAATATTTTATGAGGTCAATATGTTATTAAAAAATTTGATGTAGATTATAACGGGTATTTGATTGAGTTGGGAAATTCTTAGTAATACTATTGATCCAGTTTGATACTAATGTAGTCCTGAAGTATATAGAGGTGTGAATCCCAAGTAAGGTTTTTTAGTTTTTCTTTTTTTAAATAGGCTCCACACCCAGCATGGGACTTGATCTCACAACCTTGAGATCAAGAGTTGCATGCTCTACCAACTGAGCCAGTTAGGCACCCCACAAAACTTGGTTTTTGACCCCTTCCTTTTCCACTCCAGAGGCATCAAAGATCTTGGAGATGGAAACAGGAGATCTGGTGTTAGTTCTGATGTTGCCATTGACTGTGTGATGTTGAGTGACTGTTGAAGGGCCTTAATTTTGTCACCTATAAAGTGAGAGCTTTTGGATTATGTGATATTCAATGTTGTGTCACACAAATTTCAAAGTAGGGCTAATTTAAATTAAAAATATGCATATGTTTCATGAAACTGTAGGAGGAACAATTAAACTGAGTGTTTCACAAAATCAAAGAAGATAAGGTGTTTGCAAGACCAAATGGGGTCTGGTACCCTGGTTCTCTTTATGTTGTTTCCAACTCCCTAATGTCTTAATTAGCTTTTTCAATATGACCACTTCCCAGAGTGCAACTGAGATCTCTACAAAGGCCTTTTTTCTGTTCTCTGCTTTAGTCCAGGGGATCCTTTTGTATATATAAGCACTCAGTAAATATTTGTTGAATGAGTCTATAGTGTGTTTGGTGCATAACTGACTTTATGAAATAATGAGTTTGCAGTGAACAGTTACTTTGTTTATGTACTGTAATTTCAGATTTACAGTACTAATCAGAACCTTCTCAGTATAGATTTGGCTGCTCCCTGTTAACTTCTGTGGTTTTATTTTGACCTGTAACATCTGGAATTCAGTTCATACAAGTTAAAAATGCTCTCAGTCAGCTTGGCTACTAGTTGGCCACTGCCTGTGAAGATTTAACAACAGTTCTAAATAGTCTCACTGTTTTAAATAGTCTCCTGTACTAGATAGAGCAAGTCCCCTTTATAAAATAATGTCCGTAGCCTCAAAACAACATCAGGAAGGGCGCCTGGGTGGCTCAGTTGGTTAAGCGACTGCCTTCGGCTCAGGTCATGATCCTGGAGTCCCTGGATCGAGTCCCGCATCGGGCTCCCTGCTCTGCAGGGAGTCTGCTTCTCCCTCCGACCCTCCCCCCTCTCATGTGCTCTCTCTCATTCTCTCTTTCTCAAATAAATAAATAAAATCTTTAAAAAAAAAACATCAGGAAGTCCACAAAAGCATTAATGGGCTTTCATGACTCCTTAACAAAATATGTGACTCATTCCTGCTAGAAAGGGAAGGAACATATTAAGAGATCTCAAAAGGTTGAAATCATTATATTGAGTTCTTTTCATTTGTTAAAACTGTATTGGTAATAGTTAGTAATGCTTGGCTCTTGGTAAGAACATGGTTTTCAGAAGGCAGTTACTTCACCCATGTTTTTTTGGACCATCTGTCCTATGAAGAGAGTCTAGTAATGTAGTCATCTTCTGGTGATAAGAACTACTCCAGTTCATTGGATATGCTGTACTCTTTTAAGGGAAGCCTTTGCTTCTCTTTTGTTGATGAATATATTAGCATATCATCCAGATAATTGCCCACAAATGTGTCTTTGGGCCTTGGTTTTCCTATCTTTAAAATGGATGAGACTAAATGATTCCCAGGTCTCTTATAATTATTAATATTCTCTTGATGTTATAATTCTGTGACCATCTTGTCAGTGTATTCTAATATGAGGAACTTTATTTTGCATTAGGCTGCTTTTATTCGTGATGAAATGATGCCAGGAGAATGGGACGTTTGTGTTACTTCTTATGAGATGGTAATTAAAGAAAAATCCGTATTTAAAAAGTTTCATTGGCGATACCTAGTCATTGATGAGGCTCATAGAATAAAGAATGAAAAATCTAAGGTAAGCCAGTTTTCAGTATCATTGTTAAAGTTTTCTTTTAACTACCATGTCTGTTTGTTTACTTCTGTGTATTCAAAATTAAAAAGGGCTGGAAGATTGTGATTTTATTCACAGAATGTGAATGAAAATCAGTTTTAAAAATGGTTTTAAAGTTTAAATTATTGAATATGAGACAAATGAAAATTGAGCACAGTTTTTAATATAAGGAAAATTAGGTGTTCATTTGCTATACTTGTTGCAGCCTAACTCTGTTATGCTACAATATTTTAATGTTTTGGTAATATTTGGTGTACAAAAGTCATTTGCATTGATTTGCCTTTTATTGAGGAGCCTACCAGCTTATGTGTATTCATAAGGATTAGAAAAAAATCATTTCTTGGAATTATCTGATTTGTGTGAATTAGAGTGTGGTGTTAATTTTGAAAAATATCAATATTTCTTGCCATTCAACTCCATCAACAGTAGGAAAAGCATCAGTTATTATGATGAACCTCTCTTTGGATCACTGGGCTACTTTGGGAGAAACAGGGACAGAACTGGAGGAAAACTACCAGGTGGATCATACTAATTTCAAATTGAAACTAATACCCAATAAAAAAGGATGCATGTTAGAGAATAATTATTTAAGAGTTTTATAAAAATGTGCATTTTTATTGATAAGGTTATTGTTCTTTTATGCTTTTGTGCTTTAATTTTTATAGTTTTATGTTTATTTTATTTTTTTTAAGATTTTTTTTATTTATTTGACAGAGACACAGCGAGAGAGGGAACACAAGCAGAGGGAGTGGGAGAGGGAGAAACAGGCTTTCCGCTGAGCAGGGAGCCCGATGCGGGCCTCGATCCCAGGACCCTGGGATCATGACCTGAGCTGAAGGCAGACGCTTAATGACTGAGCCACCCAGGAGCCCCTATAGCTTTATATTTAGAAAGTTAATATAAGATAAGAAAAATGGGTGCAACTCTGGTGCTTAGAAATTGTCACCAGGCCAAGTTAGAACTTGGCTAGGTATATAGGTGAACATGATTGGCAGGGAGAAGGGGATATTGTGTAAAGTGACTAGCCTGGATTCCATGGAGTTTTGACTGTTTCTGTGGACCCAAAATGGAGAAAATAAATTTTTTGAAGTGAGGGAGGGGTCTGAGGTATGACTATGATTTGCATTCTTGCAAGTGTAGAAATGCCTAGGATATTTTGTTCAGTTGTGATTCATTGTGGCAATGTCACCTGAACTAGGATATTTTCCTAGTTCAGAAAAATAATTTTCAAGTTTTATTTTATTCAAAACATGGTTGGATAAGGAACTGAATTTTGAGAATTCTAATAAATAGAGGGATGTTAACATAATTATTATTTTTCTAGCTTTCTGAGATTGTTCGTGAGTTCAAGTCAACCAATCGCTTGCTCCTAACTGGAACACCTTTGCAGAATAACCTGCATGAACTCTGGGCATTACTCAACTTTTTGTTGCCTGATGTCTTTAATTCTGCAGATGTAAGTTTAAGTCATATGTTTTAAATATGATTTTCTTATGTTCACAGACATCTGTTTTCAAAGCATAGAATGTAGATTGAAATTTATAGTTCTTTTTCATTTGTAATTCTTTATCTGTGTGTTTTGGTTTTCTCAGAAAAAAAAGCTCTTAAGCACAAATTTTTCAAATGGGGATATTTAGAGAAATAATGTATCTTTTCTTTGAGAGTATTCTGCCTGTTAAACTGCCTATATTGCATTGCTGTCACAACTTCTGATATGAAATAGGCTGAGTTCATAATAGTAAATTCAAAATTTTCTTTTAATTAAATTAGAAGGGCTTTCTACATACTAGTTTGGCAGGTGGAGTCTTTAAAATGGTCTTTGATTATTGTAGTCATTAACATTTGGTGAGCACTAAAGAGCTCATAATTAATGTGTGATTAGAAAAACAGCATATTTTGTAAATGTGTGATTTACATTGTTTTTATCATTAACACAAGGTTATGCTAGTGCAGCAAACTGAATTGAATGATTTAAGGATTTTGGAGCTTGATTTTTCTCATTTCTGATATTAATTGATAATAAAAAGTACCAAGTTCAGCTATCCATTGGTTTGTATACCTTATCTTGCTTTGGTTTATTTTTATTGTTTGTTTAAAATTTTTGTTATCATTATGTGCCTTCCATTTTATATTCTTATTCCTACTCTAACTCTTAACTGGATATAATGCTACTATGATATGGGGAAGCCTAATAAAAGACTTTTAAGGAAACAGTGCTGGTGGAGTTCAAATTTTAACTCCTCCAGTATTTTAGCTATTTTTGAGAAGTAAATAATATTGGCCATCACAGTGAACGTATTTTTGAAAGTGCTTTTAAAATGAACTACTGTTGTGTCATTGTATGAGAATTTATACAATATTGAGTTTATTTAAAAAAAACCAAACCAATCCCCTGTGTGCTTACTGCAAAATTTTCACCCCTCCACAGGACTTTGACTCTTGGTTTGACACTAAAAATTGTCTTGGTGATCAAAAACTTGTGGAAAGACTTCACGCAGTAAGTAATAGACAAGCAAATTTAGTAATTAAATATATATACCAACCCAGAAAACAAAATTGCCATAGAATCTGTTTGAACTTGTGGGTTTACCTCCTGGCTCAGTCTCACTGCTTCTCCCTTCCAGTCTTTCTGACAGCCTCTTTGGGAAATGAACTCTACTCTATTTTCAGCCTGTCTAGGGAACAGCTTTTTTGCTTCAGCTCTCCCACATGGATAATGTGGTCCTCTCCAGTAGAGGCTGTCCATACTCGCATACCCCATAGGTCCTTAAGATGGCATCAGTATTTTTCTAGTTCCCCAGTGCCACTTGTAAGCCACTAGTTCTCCACCATCATGTACAGAACTCTTCCTTTAAGGTGAAGTTATCTTGCAGGTCCACCTTCCACCCATTCTTTTCTCTGTCATCCACTCATCTCCAGGTGACTCCCTCACATTCATTAAATACCAGTTTTCCATTCTTTGATAACAACTTCTTATATCCTTTTTTAGCTCTTTCACTCATGTTACTCCTTCTGTACTTATTCTGTTACCTTACAGAGACCTCCAGTCCTTGGACCCCTGCTTTTTCTCATCCATCACCTCATTTCTGTTGTTACTTTTCTCTCTCTCTTTTTTAAAAAAAAGACTTTATTTTTAAGTAATCTCTACACCCAACATGGGGCTCAAACTCACAACCCCAAGATCAAGAGTTGCAGGCTCCACTGACTGAGCCAGTCAGGTGCCCCTGTTGTTACTTTTTTCTCTACCAAACAATGAGCCCATTTTCTATCACTTGAACCACCCTTTTGCCAATACTCCCAAACTTTCTTTCTTTTCTTGTCTATCTGCCATTTCTGCCCTGGAAGCCCGACACTGGAATACTGTAACTGTCTCTGTCTTCTGGGTTTGAATTCTGCTTCTACCACTTACTAGGAGAGTGCCTTGTTCTGTACTGGAGCTGTTCAACACTGATAAAGAAGGTTATACAATTGTACAGATGGGAGCAACTCCAGTTTCATGTTCTATAACATAAGCTGGGGTTTGGTGATGTCAGCAATCCTTCAACATGGCCTTCTATAGCATTCTTTCCCATTTCCAATAACAGCTGCTTCAGGCCTTCCTCAATCTCCCCAAGACTTCTGTCCCAGATACTCTCTGCCCCCTTCCTTTCTCTGTAAGTAGCATCATTATTTTCTCAAAGAGAAAAGAGAAATTATTAGGTAGGAACTCCTTTAAAGATATCCAGCTTCCAAGGATATCTGCGTCTGTGTTATCTTCTTTCTGAAAGGAGAGGTGTTTTCTTTGGTCATTGGCTAAGACTTTGGACATGAACCCTGGATCTCATCTCTCCCTGTTTCCTCATGGGACCTCTCCCCATAATTTATCCTTTTTATTGACTGATTTTTCTAGCTCTCCCTCTATATTGGCTTTTTGTCCTAACATGTAAACATGCTCAAGTATCTCCCTTATTAAAATCCAAACCCACACCCGTATGCACCCACCCTCACGCATATACAAAATAGTACTCTCTTATCATTGTGTGTCTCTAGCTGTGATTCTGGTCTCTTCTCTTGATAGCTAAGCTTCTTGAAAAAGTGGTTTATTTTCTCCATCTCCACTACCTAATCTCCTGTTTACTCTTGACTCATTGACCACTGGCTTCTATCCGTTCTACGCAACTGAAACTTATCTTGGAAGGTCTTCAGTCATTTTCCAGTTGTTGAATTCAGGGTATACTTTTTGCTCAGTATTTTGGCTTCTCTGTACTGCTTAGCACTTCTAACCACTCCTGCATGAAACCCTTTCCTACTTGGTTTCTGGGGTACAGAATGGATTGTCTCTTGGATTTTCTCTTATCTTTTTGGCCACTCCTATCAGTCCCCTTTATGGGTTTTCTTTCTCAGTCTGTCCCTGAAAGTTTAGTGTTTTGTAGGGCTTTGTCTTTGACTTTCTTTTTTATGTGCTCTACCTGGGGATCCACTCCATGGTTATAGCTACCACCTATCTACTTATAACTCCCAAATTTATCTTTCCATTATTTCTTGCCTAGTTTCTGCATATCTTTCTGTCTAAATGTCTCACAGGCAGTTTAAACTCTTAAAGAATCTCTCAGACAATTTTAAGAGGCTCAAACCAGAGATCAGAAGTTGTCTTTCACTCTTTTCTTTTCCTTACCCCCCATAGATCTCTAATAGTAATAGCTTCTATTTACTAATGTCTACTGTGATTAAGCTCTACACAAGTACTATCATAAATTTTCACAGCAGCTTTGGAAATAGGTATCATTATTCTCATTTTAAAATGCTTGTCATATACATATACTATAACTTTTTGATGAATGGATGAGGAAACAGGCTCAGAAAAGTTAAGGAACTTGTCCAGGCTCTCACAACAGCTAATCAGGGACTGAGCTGATTTTAGAATCAGCTTGATCTGGGTGTGAATTTGGCTTCTACCACTTACTAGCAAAATGACTTTGGTTGAGTTAATACAATTGAAAGGCACCCGGGTGGCTCAGTCAGTTGGGTGTCTGGCTCTTGGTTTCAGCTCAGGTCATGATCTCAGGGTTGTGAGATTGAGCCCCATGTTGGACTCCACACTGAGTGCAGAGTCTGCTTGAGATTCTCTGCCTTTTCCTCTCCCTCTGCCCCTCTGCCTCTCCCCCTGCTCGAGCTCTCTCTTTCTCTCTCTAAAATAAATAGATATTTTTATTTTTATTTTTTTAAAATTTTTTAAACATTTTTTTTAAAGATTTTATTTATTTATTTGACACACACGGAGAGAGAGCGAGAGCAGGAACACAAGCAGTGGGAGTGGGAGAAGGAGAAGCAGGCTTCCCGCTGAGCGGGGAGCCCGATGCAGGGCTCGATCCCAGGACCCTGGGAACATGACCTGAGCCGAAGGCAGACACTTAACAACTGAGCCACCCAGGCGCCCCTATAAATAAATAAATAAATAAATAAATAAATAAATAAATAAATAAATAAATAAAAAAAACATCTTTTTTAAAAAAGAAAATTAAAATAATCACATTTCCTTTAAAGATTTATTGTAAGGATTTAGTACTCTGGGTTGTAAAGTTCATGGTGCACTGTCTGGCACATTGCATGTACTCTATAGATGATGGTAGCACATTACTTTCCTGTGATGGAATCTGTCTGGCAGGTATATACTGATTATTTCATCTTTTTTCTCTATTCATCCATATCTTCCTTAACATTGAACTATTTTCTCTTCATTCATATACTTAACTATTTTGAAATGGCCTGCATTTTTATCTCACTTGCAGAGACTCTCTGATTCATACTCTGACTTCAGATTTCCTCTAAGATTAAAAAATCTTGTTGTTTCACTTAGTGTAATACCTTCTAGGTCCATTCATGTTGTCACAAATGGCAAGATCTCATCCTTTTTTATGCCTGAGTAAGATTCCATCGTGTGTGTGTGTGTGTGTATTATATTTACATACATACATGCATGTGTATGTATTCATATATGTATACAGACACACATATATGTAGACCACATCTTCATCTATTCATCTATCAGTGGACACTTAGGTGTTGCTTCTGTATCTTGGTTATTGTAAATAATGCTGCAATAAACATAGGGGTACATATAGCTTTTCAAATTAGTGTTTTCATTTTCTGTGGGTAAATACCCAGTAGTGGAGTTATTGGATTATATGGCATTTCTATTTTTGTTTTTTTGAGGAACCTCCATACTGTTTTCCACAGCAGCTGTACCAATTTATATACCCACCAACAGTATGTATGGAGGTTCCTTTTTCTCCACATCCTTGCCAGCTCTTGATATTTCTTATTTTTTTGATACTAGCCATTCTGACAGATATAAGGTGATAACCTCATTGCAGTTTTGATTTGCATTTCCTTGATGATGAGTGATGATGAGCATCTTTTCTTAGTGTGTCCGTTGGTCATCTGTAGGTCGTTTTTGGAAAAACGTCTGTTACCATCAAAATTATTCCTATACAGAATAAAAAAACAAATGTTGTATGACAGCAGCTTTTTATTTTTTAAAAAAAGATTCATTCATGCTTACTCAATAGTCAGTAATCTTGTCTTTTTAATGTATTTTGTGCTATCAAATTATGAATATCTAATTTAGGTCCCCTGTTCTGATTTTTTAATGGGCCATTGGTTCTTTTCTATTGAGAAAATTGGCAACTGGCATTGGTAGTGTTTTTCAGGTTATGCTTTGGGAAGTAAATTTCACATTAGGGTGTTGTCAATGAAATATATGGTTTATAATATTAAATATCTTATAAACTTTTATAAAAACTATCACTTTTTAGGTTTTAAAACCATTTTTGTTACGTCGTATAAAAACTGATGTAGAGAAGAGCCTGCCTCCTAAAAAGGAAATAAAGATTTACTTGGGACTGAGTAAAATGCAACGAGAATGGTGAGCTATTTTATTTCCATTGGCATTTATTTACGTGTAAGGATTTATTAAAATTTAGCTTTGTAGTGGTTCAGTTATGCCCTTATTTTTTTTCAGTTGTGCCTTTAGATCAAAATTTATGTTTTATGTTTAAAGGGCAAGTTAAGTAGTTCAAATATTTTAATAGACAATTGGTGAATATTTTATTTAGCCTTTGGGAGAGAGCATGAGCTGGCTGGTTAGCTCAGTTGGTTAGAGAGTAGTGCTGATAGCCTTTGGGAGAGAGCATGGGCCTTGATTTTATAGAGCCGTATTTTTTTAAAATATTTTTTAAAATCTAAATTCAACTAATATATAATATATTATTGGTTTCAGAGGTAGAGGTCAGTGATTTATCAGTCTTATGTAATACCCAATGCTCATTATATCACATGAACTCATTAATTATAGAACTGTATTTGAATCCCATGCTTTGTCCCTTAGCAGCTATTTAGCTTGGGTAAATCATATAACCTCAGTTTCCCTTCTATAAAATGGGGATAATAATACTTAGCTGATGAGTCAGTGTCAGGGTTAAAGAGACTACTGTCACTTGCACATTTGTTTGATATTCTTTTTCCATCAGTGAAAATAGTAATAACCATAATAATAAGTAATAATAAGATGGATGAGAATAGCAATTATAGATATTATAAAAATAGAAGCTGAATTGGTTTGATAAATACAGGCAAAGCAGGAAATTGACAAGAGAAGTCACAAGGAATCATAAATTAGACATGCTTATGTAATAATGCTGCTAAAAGAAGCAAAATGTTATGGGGCACCTGGTTGACTCAGTTGGTTAGGTGTCTGACTCTTGATCTCAGCTCAGGTCTTGATCTCAGGGTCATGAGTTCAAGCCCTGTGTTGGGCATGGAGCCTACTTAAAGAGAAGCAAAATGTTGCTAATATATCTTACAAGTGATCTAATTTTATTTGTAATGACTTCTGTACTACTGAAACCAGTATAGGGTGGTGGTGAAGAGTGTATTTCTCTAGATTCAGACATAAGATCAAACTCTGACTTTGTCCCTTTTTGTGGCCCTGAGTAGGTTGTTTAACCTCTCTTAGCTGCCTGAATTCCCATTCGTAAAGTGGGGTTGATTCTATACATACCTCAAAGTTGTGAAGATTTAACAAGATGATTTATATAAAGCCCTTCACATGATACCTGACACTTTCACTCAATAAAATTTGGCTATTATTATAATTAAGTATTAATTACTGTTCAGGTGGATACATAGGTCTATTTTCACCTGGGTAAAGGTCAACAAAAGATAGTGAAAAATGTTTATGGATCAGAAAAAAATGCCTTATGAAGATTAGGTATAAGAAATTTGATTGTTGGGGCACCTGGGTGGCTCAATCATTAAGCATCTGCCTTCGGCTCAGGTCATGATCCCAGGGTCCTGGGATCGAGCCCTGCGTTGGGCTCCCTGCTCCTCGGGAAGCCTGCTTCTCCCTCTCCCCTTCCCCTCCTTGTGTTTCCTCTCTTGCTCTCTCTCTCTGTCAGATAAATAAAATCTTAAAAAAAAAAAAGAAATTGTGATTGTTTTTAGCTCAAACAAGAAAAAGTTGGATGCCAACTTTCAGCAAATATTGTAGTTATTGAATAATTAATTATCAGATATGGTTATCTGAATAGTTATCAGTTGATAGCAATTTGTAGCAATGGATAAAGCAGGAGGAAACAGGTTTGTAGGCAACATACAAGTTAAAATGTTCAAAAGTTTCTTGGTTTTGCTGATCAGATTTAGTCTCCAAATCGAATTTGTTTATCTTTAAATAGGACTCTATGCTGATCAGTAAAGGGATGTTGCTTGATGACATTGAACTTTTTATTTATTTATTTATTTTTAACTTTAAAAAAAAATGTATTTGACAGAGACACAGCGAGAGAGGGAACACAAGCAGAGGGAGTGGGAAAGGGAGAAGCAGGCTTCCCGCTGAGCAGCGAGCCCAATATGGGCCTGGATCCCAGGACCCTGGGATCATGACCTGAACCGAAGGCAGACGCTTAACGACTGAGCCACCCAGGCACCCTGAACATTTTTTTTAGATTGCTTTAACTTTTTATTATTACAGTGTTGTGATGAACACTATTCCACTTATGTGGCTATCTACAAAGGACGAAATTGTAGATGTAGAATATTCACATTTTAAAACTTATTACCTATCTTGCCAAATTGCCCTTTAGAACGAGTGTACTAACATATCCATGTCAGTTTAAAAGATCTTCCTATTTCACCACATATTCACCAAAACTGAGTATTTTTTTACTTTTTTTTCTTTTCAAATTTTTATTTAAATTCTAATTGATTAATATATAGTGTGATATTGGTTTCAGGAGTAGAATTTAGTGATTTATCAATTACATATAATAAATGATTAATTATAGTTAAAAATTTTAGGTATACAAAAATCCTGATGAAAGATATTGATGTGTTAAATTCTGCTGGCAAGATGGACAAGATGCGACTCTTAAACATTCTGATGCAGCTTCGAAAGTGTTGTAATCATCCTTACTTGTTTGATGGTGCTGAACCTGGTCCACCTTATACCACTGATGAGCACATTGTCAGCAACAGTGGTAAAATGGTAGTTCTTGATAAACTGTTGGCCAAACTCAAAGAACAGGGTGAGTTACAAATCTATACCTTAACATGAAATGACTTTATATTACTGACTTGTGTATGAATAACATTTTGCATATTTACCCATCATTTATTCATTCACTCATTCAGCAAACATTGTTGAGTACTTATTATCTGCCAGGAATTGTCCTATGGGCTGGCTATTACAAAGATGCATAAGACAACAGTCTTTGCCTTGGACAAACAATGTAGTGAGGAGGAACAGTTGAAATTTGTTGTGATAAGTGCCATATGTTGAGAAACAGAGTTGGGGAAATCTTCACAAAGGTGACATTTGAAGTGAGCCCTGGAGAATGTCTAGAAGTAAATCATGGGAAAAAGGAGGGGGAAACGTTTTACAGGGCAATGAAACTGAAGTGTGAAAAAAAGGGAATGCAGAGCTTACAGTATTTGGGGTAGAGTGGCAGTTGAGGAATCTGAAAAGATGGATGGAGCCAGATTATGAAAGGCCTTTTAAACATGCTAAAGAAGTTTGGACTATTTGGAAGGCAGGGAGGGAGGTGTGTCATAGAAGATTTTGCTGTGTCAGCTCACATGATCAGACTTGTATGTTTGGAGGAGAACCTTTGAAGCAGTACAGGGGTTCTACTGAGGATGAGAGATGAGAAACAGGAGACTAGTTGGGAGACTATTGCAGTAGTCTAGTGAAAGGTTGTGTGGACCAATCACTCATCCTCAGGACAGAGAAAAGGCAGAGTTTAAATAATCTCAATATGTGTGGAGGGTTTTGAAATCCTTAAACATGCATAACTCAGCAATGCATAATTCTGTATAGCAGTCCTCGAAGGTGTATGTGTGTGTGTGTTTCATGAAGTGTTCCACTCTATATTTATGTTACATGTGATGTTTACTTATATTTTTGTAACTTTCAAATTAGTTTTACACAAGTTGAATAACTTGCTTTTTTGGGGGAAATGTTTTAGGTTCAAGGGTTCTCATTTTTAGCCAGATGACTCGCTTGCTGGACATTTTGGAGGATTATTGTATGTGGCGTGGTTATGAGTATTGTCGACTGGATGGACAAACCCCACATGAAGAAAGAGAGGTGAGGAAAAGAAAATAAAACAAAACTTTAAAAATCAGAGTTCAATTAAGCCATGTTTTTCATCATTAGGTAGTTTTGAACTTTGGCCCTTTTTTAAATAGCTAGGTGTGTTGAATTTCTCACTTAACACCTCTCTGTCTCTCTGAGAGCTTCGATTTGGCTTGCATTATACTGACTCTTTACAAAGCATCCTTTTCAAGGTCTTCAGAGACATCCTCACTTATCTAAAGGATACTACACCATTACACCCTTACCTCCTCTAACCACTGCTCTGACCTTCTAATTACTGTTTCTCATCCTACTCTTTAATCTCTGATTCTGCCATTTTCTTTTCTTGATTTGCTTCCTGCAGTAGACCCTCGCCATTTGTGGAGTTTAACAGTTGAGATTTTTCCGGTTTATGAGTAATCCTAAAGACTCATGAAACAGTAATTTGTAAAGAAAATAATCTCAGTGTTAGATTTTTGTAAAACTGAAATTGGACAACATAGGTCTAGGTGCTTATCATGCATTTGGATCTTGGAATACCACAAGGCTGGTGTATGGAATGAGTTACTGAGCTAGTGAGGAAACCTACCTAGCAGCCAGTGTCTTTCTCAAATTTGGGAATTCTTACAGATCTTTAGATTATCCCTCATGAATGTCATGGGTCTAATGTATTTTAAACCCTTTAAATACTTTCTTGAGGGGAGGGCTTTGCTAATTTATCTTCACTTTTCTGTGGTCCTTCAAGGCTCTGTCTTTGGTCTCTCTTTTAAGTCTGTCCTCAAGCTCTGGGCAAAGATTGTGATTTCATGGTATAGTGGAAAATGCATTGAACTTGGTTTCAGAAGACCTAAATTTCAGCACCAACTCCACCACTTTGTAGCGTATGCAAGCTGTTTAATTCTCTGAGCCTCAGTATCTTTAACTATTATCAGGGTAGTATTAATACCTCGGCTTCTTTTTTTCTGACAATGTTATGAGGATCATTGGGTATAATAGATATGAATGCAGTTTTTAAAACTCTGTAGTGCAGGATATACTACATGTCATGAAATTGCACACAGGCCTTTTACCTCTCAGCTTTAGGGCCCCATCTCAGGCCACAAGGACTCTTAGTCCATGTCCCTCTCCTTCTATAGCTTCAGTGAGCACTCTGTCTCTTGTGTGCTTCCTTCTTGAAGCTTGGCTGTAGCATAGGATAGGGTCCATAGCAGGCACACAGGCCCTTTTTATATTAAGGGTTTACCTGCTACCCATTGTGGGGAAACATTTTTGGTAACATTCACAAATAATGGGCACGTTTCAAAGTTTACACTGGTCCCTGCTCTATAGTAGTTTACTTTTTTTGAAATGGTAACTTGAAGCTTTATTGGGCTTTTGCTGATTTATTCCTCAGAATGGGTTTCTTTCAAATCCACATTAAGTACAAGCCATATAGTGCTATTCGAAATGACCCTTTTTCCTGGAGTGAAGATGATACTAAGGCAGAAAAGTAGGTGCTTTCTGACCTCAAATAGCCAATTTGCATTTCTGACTGATCTCCCTGTTTATGAACAATGTGGACTTTTCCTAATTATACCCAAATTATTCTGGTTTCTTAAAATTTCAAATAATTTCTCCCTTCAGAGGGTTTGAATTGCATATGTTGAATTTAGGTACAGCAAAGTCAGAGCTGTTCTTTTCTTTCTTTCTTTTTTTTTTTTGGAAATGTCCCACTTTCCCATTATACTGTTGTCCACCTAATCGTTTCATCTATTTTCCTAGTAAAGAGGGGAAGCCACATTTGATTCCTTACTCTAATTATTTGCCAGCTGTTAATAAGCAATTCTTTTTCAGTAGTTCTCAGATTTGCCCTTTCTTCATTGCTACCGCTAAATTCAGCTAGCGAAGTCTCTGGTCACCCTCTGACTCAGTTCCTATAACCTTTACTTAATTGGCCTCCTCACTTTTATAGGGAAAGGATCTAACATTTGTCAAGCAATGACTCTAAGCTAGGCAATGTATAGTTCCAGCTGAATTCTCCCAGCAGCCCAGTAAAGTATAATTTACTGGTATCATTTTCTCTACTTGAAACTGTCTCAGAGAGGTTAAATGCTTGCTTAGAAACACATATGTAGTAAATGGTAATGATTCACACCAGGTTTTTGCTCTTTCCTCTACACCAAATTGCCTCTCACTACACCATGCTGCTTTCTATACTGCCCCCTCTATATGCTATATGGACTGTGGCAGCGAGTGTCACCTTCTCTGCTGCAACTTTTGACCATGCCATTCTATTCATTAAAAATATGACTTCCTGTATTTTCTGATTATCAAAGTAATATATGACTGCTGAAGGAAATTTGCAAAATAAAAGTATTTCTGGCCAATTTTTGTATATATAATTTATATAAATAACTGATACTATACTATATATTATATATGAAGTTTGGTAATATTTTTATTCAGCATTATGTTGTACTTTCCTATATCAGTAATAAGCTTCATTGTAAAAATAATTTAAGTATAATATTACATCCAGTGGATGTACTATAAATAATTTATCTCCCAGTTGTTGATCATTTAGGTTGTTTCCAAGTTTTCACTATTATAAATAATGCTAAAGTGAAAGTCCTTATACATAAATCTTTGTGCACATTTCTGATTATTTCCTTAGGATAAATTCCTAGAAGTGGAATTACTGGGTCAAAGGGTATGAACATTTTTAAGACTTGATGCATATTGCCAAATTGCTTTCCAGAAAGGTTGTACCAATTTCCATTCCCTGCAGCAATGTATGAGAGTGCCCGTCTCACCGCCCCCTCGTCAACATTGAGTATTATTTTTTTAATCTTCAAAAAATGGTATTACATTTTAATTTGCATTTATTTGATTACTAGTAAGATTGAACATTATTTTTGTATTTATTAGCCATTCATATTTGTTCTTCTATGAATTGTCTGTTCTTTTTTTCCTTTCTTTTGCTTATTTTTCTACTGGGGTCTTAGTGTTTCTAATTAATTTGTATGAGATCTTTATATAGTAGGGATATTAACATCCCATTAATTTTAAGACTCTTCACTAAATATCCCTGGATTACCTTACTGAATTTCTTCATTACTTCCCTGTTTGCCCCTTGTCACCATATGGAAATAAATCTACTTAATCTCCCCTTTATCCAATTCTCTCATTCACATTTCTGAACCTTTTTCTTTCTCGTTGGTCTTCCAAACTATACTGTCTTTGTTAATCCTATGTAAAATAATGGGAATGAAGTTGAGATAGCTGACATTTTACCTCCTAGATTATTTTTCAGCTCTCACTCAAAACATTTTCACTGTTGTTGCTTTAAATAATTTAAATGATTTATTGCTTGCCTAGTTGTTTATACGATTGTTCTGTGTCTCTATTGATGTAAGCTTCTAAATATTAGGAACTTTATGTAATATACTTTCTACAGCAATTCACATAGTACAGTATATAGATATATGCTTAAGTGTTTCTGAGATGGAAGAATATCATAAAGTGGGCTTTTGAATATGCATGTTAAAAATATTTCTTAATGACTCTGTTAATATAATTTTATTTTTGTTTTTCTTCCATCTCCTGTGTCAATTAAAAAAAGGAAGCAATAGAGGCCTTTAATGTTCCTAATAGTAGCAAATTCATCTTTATGCTGAGTACCAGAGCTGGAGGTCTTGGAATTAACTTGGCAAGTGCTGATGTGGTTATACTATATGATTCAGACTGGAATCCGCAGGTTGATCTACAAGCTATGGTTAGTAATCTTTAATGATGTCAGAAATTTATTTTAACTAGGAATACTATTGTTATTTATGTAGCACAGGTGTAACTTATAAAAGGGCAACCACAATTTTTGGGAGGTTTTCTAGATGTTAAAATAGATTATCTTGGAAAACAAAGATACTGTGCTAATTACAAAAAAAAAAAAAAAAAGGAAACAGAAACACACACACCCCAAATCCAACTACAGCATTTATGTGTCTATTTTGGCATTTATCATGAAACAGAACTGTTTTTTCCTCACTCCTGAATATTGAAAAGGACATGTACATATGTCTTAATGAAAAGGGTTAAAAAGTTAATGTGTTGTTATTAATTCTTCTGGATAACTAAATACGTTAAAATCCTTAGCACTAAAATTGGGAGAGGTATGATTTCAACTTTTGTAATAAAACATTTGGGATGAGGAGGTAAAAAGGTAACAAAGGAATATATTCCAGGAAAACATTTGATACCTAAGGGCACCATTGGAAAATATCCTACCCTTTTTTCAAAAAAAATTTCAAGGAGCTATTTCTTTTATTTGTCATCATGCTGTCATTTAGTGAATTAGAGCTACAACTTCTGTCAGTGTGACTCACATTTTGAGATAAAGAAAAGTTATTTCAGAAGTACAAAGATGCAAAATAGCTATGCACTCAAAATCCCAATAAATTATGGGATAATTTACTATCTTTGGAAGCAATTAAAGCTATATGTCAATGAGGCATAGCTTAGAAGTCCTTTTTAAAAATTTTATATATTTATATTTATATTTTTTGGTGCTGAAACCCGGGAGTGAACGCCCCACCTTCCTTTTTTTTTTATTTTTTAATTTTTTTGATTTATTTATTTATTTATTCGACAGAGAGGGAGACATTGAGAGAGGGAACACAAGCAGAGGGAGTGGGAGAGGGAGAAGCAGGCTTCCCGCTGAGCAGGGAGCCCGATGCGGGGCTTGATCCCAGGACCCTGGGATCATGACCTGAGCCGAAGGCAGACGCTTAACCGACTGAGCCACCCAGGCGCCCCTCCACCTTCCTTTTTTTAATAACAGAATTAAAACATATTGACTCTCAGGACATTTTAATTTTTTTTTAAGATTTTATTTATTTATTTGACAGAGAGATATAGTGAGAAAGGGAACCCAAGCAGAGGGGGAGTGGGAGAGGGAGAAGCAGGCTTCCTGCTGAGCAGGGAGCCCGATGCGGGCCTCCATCCCAGGACCCTGGGATCATGACCTGAGCCAAAGGCAGACGCTTAACGACTGAGCCACCCAGGCGCCCTGACATTTTAATTTTTTAATTTTTTTGAAGATTTATTTGTATTTTTAGAGAGAGAGCAAGCCCACGTGTGCACATGAACGAGTCCGGGGAGGGGCAGAGGGAGAGAATCGTCAAGCAGCCTGACGCAGGGCTCAGTCTCATGACCCATGAGACCATGACCTGAGCAGACATCAAGGGTTGGACACTTAGCTGACTGAACCACCCAGGTGCCCCAGGACATTTTTAAATCGAAATGCTTTTTTTATCATTACTTTAGCATGGTACTGAGTTAGCCGTTTGATATTACTCAGTAGGAATAAGCCCCAGTAAGTTACAGGGTTACTAAACTGGAAAACCTGTTGATAACACTTCATTTCATTAAAATTGTTAGAGCTTAGCTGATCTTTCATGATTTACTGATTTGAGTTTGAAATTTTAAATTTGTATAGAGGTGTTGCATTCTCATTCATTGTGCTTTGTTGAAATTGTTACTGAGCTCTAGTGTTTTTATATTTAGTTCAAGGGCTGTTTTGAATCTTGTTTCTTTGATTTGTTTTTCTCAACTGCCCTCTTCCCTTCACCTATTTGCTCTAGCAGCTTCTGTGTTTTAAAAACACTCCCCTTAGCTGTTTTTGTATTATCAGAACTTGCCATCTGTCACCTTTACCAACTGTAAACCATAGGACTAATTCTAGACCACTATATAGTAAGGATATTAATATGCCATTAATTTTTATTACCTTTTATTACACATCCCTGAATTGCCTCCATAAGCAGAAAGAACTGCTTGATTATGCAGACTTTTGCCACCATAGCAACCCTTGCTAACTACTTTGCCCCTCATGAAACTACTTGCTATTGTGGAAGATGTTTGCATTTAGTGGCTTAAAGTTGCTTAGAAAACTCCCTCTAGTCCTCATCTTAAAGGGGCTTTGGTTGTTGCCTTTCTGGAAGTTTTCTATTACTGGTATAGTATAATATTGGCAGATTTTTTTGGTCACAGGGACATCTAGATATTCCTTTATTTAAAAAAGATTCATTTGAGAGAAAGAGAATGTGCACAAGAGGGGGCCGGGGGGCGGAGCAGGAAGCCCAACATGGGGCTTGATCCCAGGACCCTGAGATCATGACCGGAGCCAAAGTCAGACGTTTAACTGACTGAGCCACCCAGGCGCCCCATATATATTCTTAATATTCATTATCCTCCTTTAAAATGTGGCAGGTCTAGAGAGCTCAGAAACTAATTTTGTATTTAGAATTTTATAGCATATGGTGGCTGTCTATATATTTTACCCAGAATACCCAATATCTTATATTAGGATTCTTTCTTCTAGGATCGAGCACATCGTATTGGTCAGAAGAAGCCAGTACGTGTGTTCCGTCTCATCACTGATAATACTGTTGAAGAAAGGATTGTAGAAAGAGCAGAGATAAAACTGAGACTTGACTCAATTGTTATACAACAAGGTATTTATACATGTAAACTTAATTAGGTGTTTTTTTTTTTTCCCCCAAAAACACATGCAATTTTCTTTAAAGGACATTTTTATTTTTTTAAGATTCATTTATTTATTTTAGAGAGAGAGAGAGAGCACGAGCAAGCATGTGGGGGGAGGGGCAGAGGGAGAGGGAGACAAGCAGATTCCCTGCTGATTGGGGAGTCCGATGCGGGTCTCGATTCCAGGACCCTGAGATCATGATCCGATCTGAAATCAGGAGTTGGATGCTTAACTGACTGAGCCACCCAGGTACCCCAAGGAGATTACTTTTAGAGTTGACTAAAATTTGCAAACTTACAGGAAAAAAGTCAGTTTTTTAAAAAAAAAATTGCTAATTTAAATCCATTTAATTTAAAGCCTTGCATTCAATATATGGAATAGATAGTTAAGCATCACTAGTTTATAGTTGAATGCCAGTGGCATGTCTTCTCAAGTACCTGATATTATTTAGCAGTTAAAATGTCTAGTTAAATTTTTTTTTAAAGATTTAAGACTTTATTTATTTATGAGAGAGAGGGAGTGCACACGCACTAGCGGGGGAGGGGGGAAGGGCAGAGGGAGAGGGAGAAGCAGGCGGGAGCCTGATGGACATGGGGCTCTATCCCAGGACTCTGGGATGATGACCTGAGCTGAAGGCAGACACTTAACTGACTGAGCCACCCAGGCGCCCCTAAAAAATTTTTATACACGTATTAGAGAGTGCCTGTTGATAGAAAGAAATTTGATCTGACAAATGAGCTTTGAAAATGAAAAAATGTTTCTGTTCTTCTGAGTTTTAACTGAATTTTACAGAAGGAAACATATTGAAATAGAAGGTATGGTAGGAGAAAAACTTGTAGGTGTGTTCATTAATATAACTTGAAAGGTCACTAATTTTCTGTGCTTTTAAAGCTTTACTTACAGTTAAATGTGGTAGTGTCTGATTAGAACTATTATGCTGTGCTTTCTATGGAATATAATTGAATATATACAACTTTTATTTTTATTATTAGGAAGACTCATTGACCAACAGTCTAACAAGCTGGCAAAAGAGGAAATGTTGCAAATGATACGTCATGGAGCCACCCATGTTTTTGCTTCTAAAGAAAGTGAGCTGACAGATGAAGACATTACAACTCTTCTGGAAAGAGGGGAAAAGAAGGTTAGTTAAAATGACATTTGTTTTCATGATGAATTGCTTTAAAATCAACGTACTTCAGCATGCTTAATTGGATTTGTGTTGTTTCAAATGCATGTTTCAAATGACTCATGTTCTCTCTAAGGATTTGTAGATTTATATCCAGAGGTAGTTTAGGGTTTTTTAGTTTAATTTTTGGTAAGAAAGACTAAGAACTAGAGTTTAAAATTGAGTGACCTTATATCTTATGTTTATTGAAAATAATGTTGGTATTTACTTAAAAGCCAAATAAATTTCATGTTCAATCACATATATCAGGACTACATTTTTGCAGCCTTTTTCTTACACTGGATTACATTGCATTAACTGAAAATCTTTTGTGAACATTTCATGAAATATTAAAGCATTATTTGCTAAAGTATAATAAACTATTTCAGAATATTGCCATTTTGTGTTGAATTTACTTTTTTTTTTTACAAATTATTTTAGATAATTTCAAACATGAGTAAAAGTAGACAGAAATTATAATATGGCTACATCTTCAGGGATAAAAGATTTCAAAGAAAGCCTAATTGAGAATACTTGAATAACCACTTAAATATTTAAAATACTTGGAACAAGTTAAATTTATATTCATTTAATGTTAGCCTTGCATTCTTACCTTGTAAATTAACAGATTGGATATTTCATGTCAAACCTGACTTTTAAAAAGATAGAGAGCCCACAGATTTTTGTAAGTAATTCAGTGATAATTTTCTAATTTCAATGCATTGAACTGTAGACTGCAGAGATGAATGAACGCTTGCAGAAAATGGGAGAGTCTTCTCTGAGAAATTTTAGAATGGACACTGAACAAAGTTTGTACAAGTTTGAAGGAGAAGATTATAGAGAAAAACAGAAGGTAACTTTTTACCCTCAGCCATTAGACTCTCAAATTAGCATTTCTCCCCATAACCATTATTAAAAAACACTGACGGGCCATCTGGCTGTCTCATTCGGTAGAACATGTGTGACTCTTGATCTTGGGGTTGTGAGTTCAAGCCCCATGTTGTGTGTAGGGGTTATTTAAAAAAACAGATAAAATTAAAACAATAATAAAATTAAAAAAACCCCACTGGCACTTACCTATTACAGTGCTCTGCTATGGAGTGAAATTTGATGTAGGTCAGATCTCATGCAATTGCTATCTTTAATAAATTTTGCTGGATGAAGATGATGATGATGATTACCATCATCCTCCTCATCATTTTTGCTGCTGTTGTTGCTGTTATTACTGTTTTTGACAAGCAGTGTAGGATTGTGGTGGAGTTCCTGGATTTTGAAGCTGAAATCCCAACTGTATTACTAATTAAGTGACTTTGGGTACTCATTTTTCTCCACTATCAAATGGAGGGTATAGTAATACACTGCATGGACAGCAAAGGTCCTTTGAGGAAATGGGAGTTTTATTTATTTTGGTTGAAATTATGGCTGTAATTAAAAATTTTTAATTTGAAATGACTTTAGACTTTATTATAAAAAAGTACAGAGTTCACATATATCTTTCACCCAGCTTCCCCTAATGTTAACAAGTTACATAATCATAGTACATTTATCAAATTAACACGTTTTCTCCCTAAGTTCTTTCCCTGTTCCAGGGGATACAATCCAGGATCTCACACTGCAGTTTAAAAAAAACAGCTTTATTATGGGGCACCTGGGTGGCTCAGTCGTTAAGCGTCTGCCTTCGGCTCAGGTCATGATCCCAGGGTCCTGGGATCGAGCCCCGCATCGGGCTCCCTGCTCCGCGGGAAGCCTGCTTCTCCCTCTCCCACTCCCCCTGCTTGTGTTCCCCCTCTCTCTCTCTCTCTGTCAAATAAATAAATAAAATCTTTAAAAAAATAAAAAAACAGCTTTATTTTTAAGAGCAGTTTTAGATTCACAACAAAATAAAGTGGAAAATACAGAGTTCCCATATCTACCTACTCCAAATAAACATAGCTACTACACTATTAATATCCCACATCAGAGTGGTACATTTGTTACAATTGAACCTACATTGACACATCATTATCATCCAAAGCCCATCTTTTATGTTAAGGTTCACTTTTGGTATTGTACATTCTGTGGGTTTGGATAAATGTGTAATGATATGTATCCACCATTACAGTATCATCCAGAATAGTGTTACTGCTCTAAAAAGTTCTCTGTGCTCTGCCTATTCATTTCTCTTTCTATAGCCACTGGCAACAACTAATCTTTGTACTATCTCCATAGTTTTGCTTTTTCCAGACTGTCATATAGTTGGAATCATATAGTATGTAGCCTTTTCAGATTGACTTCTTTCACTTAGTCATATGCATTTAAGGTACCTTCATGTTTTTTCATGGTTTCATAGCTCATTTCTTTTTAGTGCTGAGTAATACTCTGTTGTCTGGATGTATCACTATTTATTTATTCATTCATCTACTGAAGGACATCTTGGTTGTCTCCAAGTTTTGGCCATTATGAATAAAGCTGTTATAAAAATCCATGTGCAGGTTTTTGGGTGGACATAGATTTTCAACTCCTTTGGGTAGATGCCAAGGATCGTGATTGCTGGAGCGTGTGATAAGCTTATGTTTAGTTTTGTAAGAAGCTGCCAACCGTTCTTTCAAAGTGGCCATACCATTTTGCATTCTCATGAGCAATGAATGAGAATTCTGTTGCTCCACATTCTCACTAGCATTTGGTGGTGTCAGTGTTCTGGATTTTGGCCATTCTAATAGGTGTGTAGTGTATCTCGTTCTCATTTGCATTTCACTGACATAAGATGTTGAGCATCTTTTCATTTGCTTATTTCCATCTGTATATCTTTGGCCAGGCGTCTGTTCAGGTCTTTTGCCCATTTTTAAAATCAGGTTATTTTCTTATTGTTGAATTTTAAGAGTTCTTTGTATATTTTGGATAACAGTCCTTTATAAGATGTGTTTTGCAAATATTTTCTGTCATTTTGTGACTTTTCTCATTCTCTTGACCCACAATGCTTTTTTTTTTTTTTTTTTTTTTTTTTGCTGTGTCTTCTTAGGCTCTTTTAATCTGCGTTAGTTCTCAGTCTTCCTTTGTCTTTCATGGTCTTTACACTTTTGAAGAGTATTGGTCAGTTATTTTGTAGTTTGTCTCTCATTTTGGGTTTGTCTGACATTGTCTCATGATTGGACTGAGATTATGTATTTTTTGGCAAGAATTCCATGGCAGGGATGTTAAGTCTTCAGTACATCTTATCAGGGAATATAAGATGTTGTTGTGTTGTATTACAGGAAATAGTAACCTTGATCACTTAGTTGAGGTGGTGTCTGCTGGGTTTCTTCACTGTAGAGTTACCATTTTTCCCTTTGTATTTGATAAATATCTTGGGGAATATATTCCTCAAACATATACCCACTGATTTTAGCATGTTTTGGTGGCATTTGCCTGCAACAGTTATTTTTGTGGTTTTTGCCTGATAGTAATTTTGTATTTCTTTCATTCCATCTACATTTATTAACTGGGATTTTTCCGTAAGGAAGACCTGTCTCTTCTCATTTATTTTATACTCATTTATATCAGCATGGGCTCATGAATATTTATTTTATTTTTTGGGTTATAATACAATTTTATCGTTGTTTTGTTTGCCAAAATTGTTCTATAAAGCTGTTATATTTTTAACTCACAGAAATGAATTTTGTTAAAATAAGAAAGCTTATTTTTGGATATTGATTTTACTGAAGAATGAGAGGTGAGCCATTTTAGTTTGCATCGCAACTAGTATGCTGATAATGCTTTGTTGCTATCATTATTTTTCGTAGTTTTTAGTGTCTTGACTTACATCTATTTGGTTGTTCTATCTGTAACCTTAATTTAGACTGCTTATGTTTTATTCTGATGAGATAAACATGATGACTTGCATGCATAAGGTAGAAATTGTTTTTGAGATCTCATTGTGCGATACAAATTTTTAAAATTTTACAATTATTTCTATGGGCTTATTGGTATTAAGAGTATTTTATAAAGTGGAAAAATATTAAACAGTGAAGAGTCTAAATATCAGTGGAACTTCTAATCTACATCCTTAGAGTAAAATTAAACTTAGTAAAATACTTGTCGGGTGCCTGGGTGGCTCAGTCGTTAAGCGTCTGCCTTCGGCTCAGGTCATGATCCCAGGGTCCTGGGATCGAGCCCCACGGGCTCCCTGCTCGGCGGGAAGCCTGCTTCTCCCTCTCCCACTCCCCCTGCTTGTGTTCCTGCTCTCGCTATCTCTCTCTCTGTCAAATAAATAAATAAAATCTTTAAAAAAAAAAATACTTGTCTATGTTTAATATAGCAGGTTTCCTGTGCTTACAATTCTAGTAAAATAATGTACAAATATAGAGGAATTTTAGTAATAATTATGATTACTTATATTTTTATAATTGAATGAGAAAATCAGATTTTAAAAATATTCTGACTTGGCATTATCTCTTATTTCTGGCTTTTCATATTTTTTAGATAGGTTCTTAAAATAGGTTCAAATTATCCTTTGAAGAGAATTGAAAACCTACAAAAATATTGTTTATACGTAAATCATGGGAATTACACAATGAGGTAGATTTTCATATATGATTTGTTGAATCAGCATTATTTACAACCATACCTGGGAAATTAAGTCATAATGACTGACATTGATCCTGAAGAAATTAACCTGAATTAGTTTGTATTAATGTGCTCTTATCTAAAACAAACTAATTCAGCATGATTTAGTGTATTTGAAAGTTTAGGAATAGGCCCTTAATGCTTATTCCAAATTTGGATACCTAGACCTGCGTATAAGTATGGGTTAAATGGCCAATACATTACTTTTGACTAAGTTAAGTTATTATTGATTTATTTTCATTCCAATTGGGACAAATAACATATTGGTTATTTATAAAATATTTTTTCTATTACTATCCTCTCACATTAATCCATTTGAGGGGGGGAAAACAAAACTACTTTCAGTGCTTTGAATATTTTTTTATTTTATGCAAACTCACATTATACTGTCTATATCTCATAAACTCTTAGAGTTAAAAGAAACTTAAAGGTCATTTAGTCTAACCTTTTTTAATTAAGAAATCCCATCTGTAGGATGTAGGGCAGTTATCCAGCCTCTATTTGAATGTGGTCATATTGGGAATCATACTCCTTTTGGGAGAGTTCATTTCACAGTTTTATATTTTTTGGTTCTCAGAAAACTTGTTATTTGACTTACAAGCTCCTTGATGGAAGAGATTATTCATCTTTGTATCCCTGACACTGATACAGTAGGTACTTAAGACATATTTATTAAATTACATTGAGTAGGAATCTACTTTCCACATTGGTTTTTTTTTTTTTAAGATTTTATTTATTTGACAGAGACACAGTGAGAGAGGGAATACAAGCAGGGGGAGTGGGAGAGGGAGAAGCAGGCTTCCCGCGGAGCGGGGCTTGATCCCAGGACCCTGGGATCATGACCTGGGCTGAAGGCAGACGCTTAACGACTGAGCCACCCAGGCGCCCCTCCACATTGGTTTTAAAGATTTTATTTATTTATTTGAGAGAGAGAGAATGAGAGACAGAGAGCATGAGAGGGAGGAGGGTCAGAGGGAGAAGCAGACTCCCCGCCGAGCAGGGAGCCCGATGCGGGACTTGATCCCGGGACTCCAGGATCATGACCTGAGCCGAAGGCAGTCGCTTAACCTACTGAGCCACCCAGGCGCCCCTCCACATTGGTTTTAACCTTATGGATCAACTGAGACCTGTGTTCTTTTGTAGTTGATAGACTTTTACATATGTGAATACTACCATTATGTCTGTCTTTAGTCTTTACTTCTTTGGACACTGTGAGAGTTTGTAGATCCCTAACCATCCTACTCATCTTAGTTTATCATCCACTCTTAAACTATGATGCTAAGGTTGGAACTCCATCCTTAGATAAGATCAAATATAGTGGGATCATTAATTGTAGATTAATGGCCTCTTTTGTGTTCAGGCACTAGGATAGGTGCTGTGAAATCAAGAAAAATATCTGAACTGGAAAACCATCCCTATAGACTCCAGAATTTTGTATTGTCAGTTTGGCCTATTGCCTTTTAAATTGTATTTTCTAGCTGATATTGGGCCAGAGTTGTTTTTTTTTTTTTTTTTTGAAGATTTTATTTATTTATTTGACACAGAGAGAGACAGCTAGAGAGGGAACACAAGCAGGGGGAGCGGGAGAGGGAGAAGCAGGCTCCCCGCTGAGCAGGGAGTCCGATGCGGGGGCTCAATCCCAGGACCCTGGGATCGTGACCTGAGCCGAAGGCAGACGCTTAACGGCTGAGCCACCCAGGCGCCCCCTGGGGTAGAGTTTTGTAATGCTACCTAATCCTAATCATTGTTCACCCAATTTTGGGTGTTTAATAATAATTTAGGTTCAACTCCTGGCAGTTTATCTAATGCCTTAACTTATGTGGTCACATTTAATCCTCAAGGTAGGTATTATTCTTCCCACTTCACTGAGGGAGGAATTAATTTTGCCCAAGTTACACAACTGGTATGGTGGCAGAACCTGGTTTCAAATTCAGGTCTTTTCTGATTTCACTGACTTTTCCCACCGCTACCTTACCAAGGCCTTACTTCATTTTAAAATTTCTCTTGATTTGAAGGGATATATGCCTATCATGTTGATAGTCATCATTTACCCTTTTCAGCTACTTTCTAATTCGTACACTTGACACCGTTACCAGAATCAATGTTAGTCTTCTATATTAGATACTATTTATTTCAACATAAAATACTAACCAGATTGTGCAGATTCTTCTCACTTACTAAGGAAGAACTAAGTTTTTAAATAACAACTAAACTTGCTTATTAAAAAAAAAGAAAACAAAAACATCCTTGCACCTAAACTTGACATATACAGGTTTGGAACTTGGGACATATAATTGTGACTTCTAAAGTGCAAGTTTTGCTTCTTCCAAATGGCTTTAGTTTTCTCATGCTTCTGCAACCTTGATGTGTTTGATTTTTAAAAACATTTTGGAATAATTAAATTCCTTGTTCTTGTGTATAGCTTGGGATGGTGGAATGGATTGAACCTCCTAAACGAGAACGCAAAGCAAACTATGCAGTGGATGCCTACTTTAGAGAGGCTTTACGTGTCAGCGAGCCAAAGGTTCCAAAGGTAAAACATTATGAGGCCAGTTTTTATGTCCTATAGCAGAATTCTCTTGTAACATGGTCTGTGACTTAGATTGACTTGTATCAGTGCAACATTATAGCCCTTAAGATATAATAATGATGTAGAAAAGTACTTGATATGGCCCCACCATATAAAGGGATTCCGTTGTATTTATGTTTCTATATATAAAAGAAATAGTAAAAGAAGTATGTTCACTTCATGTACTGAAAACAAGTATGTATGTAATGCACTTTTCTCCCATAGGCTCCAAGACCTCCAAAGCAGCCAAATGTTCAGGATTTTCAGTTTTTCCCACCACGTTTATTTGAGCTCCTGGAAAAGGAAATTCTTTATTATAGGAAGACAATAGGCTATAAGGTAATTTTTCAAGTTTTTATTTATTTAACTTATTTTTTATTTTTTAAAGTTTTTAGATTAGTATATAATCTTTTAAGCTAATATAATCTATTAAACCAGACTGGAAAGCATTCCATTTTAATGTGAGAGAACATAAAAGTAAATCAAAATAGTGGTGTTTCTAAAACCAAAGAGGAGGTTTAACTAGAAGTCAAGCATCAAACTATCAAATCACCAGTAGGATCATCATGAAATGGGATTAATGGCGAATTACCCAATATTTCAAAAATAGTGATAATGTATATTATCTTAATAATGCTAAATGTTTGAGTGGTGAAAGAATATGTAGAAAGAACAATAGGCATATCTTAAATTAGAAGTGAATATATGATAGATGACAGAAGTTTTTAATCATTTTTCTTAATATGACCAAGGAATAGTACTTTTGTATTTATTGTTCTTTGGTTGATGAAAGCCCTATTGGTAGTTATTTGATTGTTGCCACTTAGGTGTTAATGATAAATGTGATAACGAATTCTAACATTTTAAAATGATCTTTTGGAAATAAAGATTCTTATTTATATAGGTAGATAGGAACCCATTTTTAGTGAGGGAAATGTTTGTCACCCTAAAGCTATCACACTGAGAGATTAAGCCTACCTAGTTATTTCTATATGCTGAAACTGACTTTCCAGTGAATGGAAAGGGATGACCAAAGCTGTGAAATTAGTATAAGTAGGATAAGCAAAATTATAAAAATATTAATACTATTGTAATTTTATGAAGTTTTCTGTTTTATGAAGTGGAAGCTGTGTTTTAAAATTTATTTTGTGAACCTTTGTCACAAGTGGAACTATGTGCAATTATTTTGATTAGTAGCTGTAATGTGCCTAGAAAAGCTTCATGTATATAAGGTACTTAGTTCATTTGTATTTTGGAACTAAAGTGGATCTCTAGAGTGTTTGTACTATTTGTCCAGAGTGAGAGCATTACCATTTGAAATGGAGCAAAAAAGGGTTTGCTTGCTATTTATGTATCAAAGTTCAATATATGTACACAAGAACGAGAAAGTGACAGTGAATATAAGTAGTTATAATCTGGTTAGGGAAATATGATTACATTTGAATGTATTTAACCGACATGACTGGATAAAATCTGTCTTAGGAAGTTGTCAAAGAGTAAAAATACCATGGTTGAACATTCAGACCAGGAATAAAATCAGTTTCAAAGAAGGTGAAAATGGTGATATACCAGAAGAAACAGGAAATTGTAGATCCAAAATAAAAATGAAGATAGCAAAATTAATAAAGTAGTAATATTTCATGAGGTAAACAAATATATATATTATTCCACCTAAAAGTTACAAAAATTTTAGGTTTAGATGATTATTTTGTTACTTTTGTGGAGTGTTTTTAGTGAGACTTGAAAATTAGTTGAAATGTTAAGCCCAGTTAGTAATCAACCAAATAGCTGTGTGAAGCATTTTATAATTTATGAAATGCTTTATCACATACTTCACTTGATTTCTAACAGCCATGTGAGATAGGTGTTATTATCACCTCCATAAAGGGGTGAGGAGAGTGAAGTTCAGAGAGGTTAAAAGACTCATTCAAGGTCACATAGCTAACAGAGTTGCCAGAGGTGCTGGTCTCCATCCCAGGTTCTCAGTGTTCAAATGCTATGCTCTTTCCACTCAGACATTCTGCGCTATTTCTGCATGTGACATAACCCTGCTGCTTTTTGCAGCCCTAAATAAGGACTGTGTTTATGGTGGTGTGACATGTTGTTTGGGAGGCGAGCCAAGTGGTAGTCAAATAGCAGCAATAAAAAAAATCCTCTCTGCCAATATAACTGTTTATGCTCCTTCTTTGGAGATCCTGAGATTCTGTTCCCTCTGATAATACAGCGCCCACCACATCCTTGCCACAGCTCTGGTTTTAATGCAAGCCGTGCCTTTCATTACAGGCAGTTTGTGGTTGGGGTGAGGTCTCATAATCACAGTTGGGTGGTGGCCAACTGGAAGGAGATGGAGGAGAGAGAAACCTTAGAAGAGGGAGGAATGAAGGGACAGCTGCAAAGGGTGACAAGAAGGAGGCAGGTGGAAGAAGAGAGGACAGGGATGAATGAGGAGAGGGAAGACGGCATGGACTCCATGCTCTGGCACCTTACTCTTTTCTCTTCCTCACCTCCCAGAGCTCCGTGACAGGAGAAGGGAGTATGAGGGCTGTTTTTCACTTAATCCATACTTGTTGAGTATTCCTCTGTGTCAGGTCCTAGGCCATGCAATGGTGATAAAGTAGTGAAGACAGACAAGGTCCCTCAGTGCATGGAACTTGTGTTCTAATGGAGGAGACAGATATTAAGCTGATGCCACAGAGTAATGACATTATTTGTTTTCTGTGCTTACAGAGGGTGCTATGAGGGAGCATGACAATGCCTATCTAATGTGGATTGGGAGATCAGGAAGATGGTCCCTAAGGCAGTGTTATTACATTGAGATCAGAGAGACAACACGGGAATTAGTCAAGGGAAGTGTGGGAGAGGAGCTCAGGCAGGGAAACCATAGGTACAGAGGTGTTGCAATAGGAAGGACGACGGCCCCTTCGGAAACTGAAGGCAGGCCAGTGTTGGTAAGGAGGGAGAGGGGCGAGATGAAGTTGGTGAGTGAGTAGTCAGATAATGTGGAGCGTTGAACATTAGTTGTAGGTCACATTAATTAGGTTGAACTTTAGCTTTAGAGCAAAGGAAAATCACTGAGGTGTTTTTAAGGCAGAGGAATGGGTGGTTCCTTACTTGTGTTGCTTTCTGTTCTAAGTTCTTTCAAAAGATCAGCTCATTATCCTCATTACAGCCCTGAAACTACATCCCTGTTTTATAGATGGGGAAACTGAGGCACATAGAGGTCGAGTAATTTGCCTTGTCAAGCAACTTTTAAATGGTAGAGTATGATCAGATTTACATTTTTAAAAGATCACTCTGGCTTCAATACAGAGAATGATGAGTTTATCTAGGGAAACCAGCCAGAAGGCTGTTGAAGTGTGAAAAGATGAGAGAAGATGGTGGTGGCTTGGAGTATGGTGGTGTGGTGGTGATGGTGGAAGGAAAATCCATCCTCTACCACTCTACTAGCCTTGTACTCTCTTTAGCCTCATTTTGGATTGTCTTAGTATCATCTTAAGACTTGCCTTGTCCTCCATATATATGCATATTTAGCTGAGGATTTATGAGACAAATAAGAGTACATTCTGGATGTTGGTTCTTTCTGAACCTTGTCTCTTCCATTCTTTACCAGGGGATGCAGACCTGAGCTAAGGTGGGTGCTTTAATTAGGTAGGTGTTGTGTTTAAATTCAGAGTATAGACAGATGAGCGTGGCATACTAGTCATCTGCAAAAGCTGTTTTTTTTTTTTCCAGGGATGTTGTGATATTGATAACTGTTATACATATCTTCTCGAAGATACCTAGCATTGTTTTTTCTCCCCCTATAGCTCCAGAAAACTCACCAGAGCCACAAAGTGAGTGGAACAATAGTTTATTCTCAGTTGAACAGATTGCTACAGTGCAGCTACCTGGTATTCTCTTTGCATAGTTAGGTTCTCAGAAAGGGACTCCTTCTCCCCCCCCCCCCTTCTGCTTAAAGGATTGCTAGCTCAAGGGAGAGAGGTGTAGTCTTATAGCTGGGAGTATTATGGTGCATGGTACTGTTCTGTCAATTTTTCTCTTATTGAAAAATCTCTAGTGGTTGCTGTTGTCTACTGTATAGATTTTTCTTTTTTCTTTACTTAGGCTCCATGCCCAGCGTGGGGCCCAGTGTAGGACTTGAACTCACAACCCTGAGATCAAGACCTGAGCTGAGATCAAGAGTCAGATGCTTAACTGACTGAGCCACTGAGACGCCCCACTACTGTGTAATTTCAAAAAACCCTTGTAAATCTATCTCAGCCTGGCCTTGTTTCTTACTCCTTTTCGACATAAACCCTATATGGTCTATATGAGGACAGAAGGTCTATGTGAGGAAGGACCCTATATGGTCCTTCCTGGCTTTGCTCATATTGTTCCAGCCTAGAATGTTGTTTCTCTCTTCTTTTCCATTTCCCCAAATCCTTAGAATTCAAAATTCCACAACTAGGTTGTGAGCTTCCCGTAGGCAAGGACCATGTCTACTGCTTTTATGTTCCAGTGAATACCTCTCATAGTGCTATGGACATAATAGACATTTAATCAGTACTTATTAATTTGTGTGGTACTGATGATTGTAAATGAACGTGTTTTTTCAGTAATTCTTTTAAACCCAGTTATTAGGGTTTATATTTAAAAAACTACTGGATGCAATCATTTTAAAAAATTTTTATTTTCAAGTTACAATTTTATTGTTTCAAACTGTGAAATATGTATAACAATTAGGAAAATGTACTCTGATATGTATTATAATTACATTGTAGTAAACCCATGACTATCTGATATCCCTAGGGAATGAGTTGTTTGTGGTAGGTGTGCATATCAAACAGTGGAAGGCTTAGTGTCAACCCTTTTCATGTTTAATGGAATGCTGTAAAATGTACCACACATGTTATGTACCTGCTATCTTAAATCAGCGTGCTACAGTGTTACTGCAGGTGCACATAGAAATGGTGTGAGGCTTTGGCCTGAGTGACTTAGTTTGTCACTCCATACAATGAATGCTGCTCCATATTGCTGAACTGTACTGGTTGTCTATGTTCACTGTGACACATGGAACATAGGGGCCACAGCTTTGAGATGCAGGTGAATGGCTGACTGCTTACTTCCTTGGAGAGCTGAGCTTCTGTCCTCAGTCTTTTGGACTTGAGCTCTCTTCTCAGGTGTCAGTGTATTTGCAGTTCTGTATCTAAAACACTAGAATTCCTGTTGGTCACTGCTACTGTAGCTTTTTCTCTCTCTCTTTTTTTTTAGATTTGTTTTTTATTTGACAGAGAGATAGAGAGAGCACAAATAGGCAGAGCAGCAGGCAGAGGGAGAGGGAGAAGCAGGCTCCCCGCTGAGCAGGGAGCCTGATGTGGGGCTCAATCCCAGGACCCTGAGATCATGACCTGAGCCAAAGGCAGACGCTTAACCGACTGAGCCACCCAGGTGCCCCACTGTAGATTTTTCTCGACTGCAGGTTCCATCATAGCTGTTTGTGTGCTCTGCTACCCTTCCCCTTTTATATATATTCTTTCTCTCTCGCTCTCTCTCTTTTTTTTTTGGTTCTTCATTATCCTCTCACTTCTTCCAGTCTTTGCATTTTATATGAAGATGCTCTCCCTTTCCATACCCTGGCAGGCAGTAAAAGCACTCCTTTTCTTTTTGCATTTTGACCTGATCAGAGCATTGAATGCATTCTTCAGGTGCATTGCACTTCTCTACCCTGATCTATATTGCCAGGTGAATATGGGCTCTTTTGTACTGCAAAACTTGTTTCTTCTGGGCTTGAGATTTTATTGTATAATGTTGATGTTGGCATAATGATATTATTGTTACTACCCTGTATTACAATATTATAAGGATGTATTTTGTTCCACAGTTATAATTAAATCTAGAATATAGTGTGGCATTTAGCAAGGGGTTTAGCTCTAAAATACCATGCAACACATTTAAGAATGGTTTTTATTTTGATAATATCATGGTAGTAAGAATGTGGAGAAGATCATGTGTCAATCTGGTATGACTTTATATTGTTTACTGTTGAAATAACTCTAAGATTGATATGTGTATATACACCCTCAATCAGTTTTTCTCAACAGTTTACTTATAATTCATTTCTTGATTTATAGGTCCCAAGGAATCCTGATATTCCAAATCCAGCTGTGGCTCAAAGAGAGGAGCAAAAAAAGATTGATGGAGCTGAACCTCTTACACCAGAAGAGACTGAAGAAAAAGAAAAACTTCTTACACAAGTAAAATATTTTAAGTGGCTAAGTGTTTCTAATTAACTAGTAGAAAAAAGAAAATACAGGCCACATTTACCTTTTATTGTATGAGCTGATTAGACTCATCAACAACACGCAAGGCTATTTTGTAAACATACATTTAGATTAGCTATTCCTATTTTTCATCCCGTTTGTAGAATACACCCATTCGGAAATGCTAGAAAATACATAAATGCAAAATATAAGTGTCAGTTATTACTATGAAGACATGTATTTTATCAGTTATATTAATCCATGTATGAATCCTGATAGGCAATAATTACTAGCATATTCTTGAAAGTTTAAATTTATTATACTGATTGTGAACTGTCCTCTGAAATTATACTCTACTAATCTTTTATTTATGGAATAATTTCATAATTCTCAAAATGCCTTTTATCCTGTCTTAGGAAGAACTTTAATACAACAGTGAGAGATTTTTGAAACTTTGTAAGGTGTGATTATTGTATAATTAAAAGCTAATAGTTATTAAATAGGGAACATTTTCATTTGAATAAAATATTAATGCTTTCTGGTCATTGTTGCTTTAATGAGTTTTGAGTGTAGAAACAATATACAAATAATCTATAGAAGATGAATAATCCGTAGAAGATAAAAAAGTTGCAGCATAAAAGACCTTTGCAAGATAATAAACGTGTACTGTATGATACCACCTTAGTATAGAAAGTTGCCAGCAAGATTTATTTATTCAACAATATTGAACAATATGCAAGGCACAGTGCTAGGAAAGTTGCCACATTAATTATTGAGAGATAATTTTTATATTTATATCTTATTTATTATGTAGGTCTTTTCTTTGTTATGATGTGTAATTTTACTGAATAAATTTTTATAAATTATATTCATAAGTTTTTGAGCGAAATGCCTGAAAGTCATAAAGTTTAGTTTGAAAATGTAATTGCAGTTGGCTGAATATTAGGACTTACCACAGAATAAAATAAAACATTTAACTATTCATGTTTTATTTTCATAATTTATTTCCTGAACATAAAAATAAAGTTATGGTCTTAGAATGCTACTTGGCTTGCAGTATATGGTGAATGTATACTATACTGTGAATATACAGTATCAACTGAGGAATTGCTTTAGTTTGTAATTAAAAGTAAAATCAATTTTTTTGCCCCCTCTAGTAGTTGAATTCATCTTTAAACATCTTTCTCTGGTGCCTTAAATAATTAATCTTTTTAAAAAATCATGGCAAAGATATAAAATGTGGGGTCACCAGAAATCATCCTCGTCAGCTAAAGGCTAGGGATAGAGTTTTGAACAGCCAGGGATATCACATTGTTATGGGTTGGGATATAAGGAGTAGAAAATAAATTCTTGGTTTTGTGACTTCACAGACATACTAATAATACCAAAGAGATTTAAAACATTGACTGGTTAAACTGTTCTATCTTTTAATAAAGAAATTGAGTGGGACCAATAACACTCTGTTTATAGAAATTCTGTTTATGAATACAATTTTGAATAGAAATTATTTATTCACAGTACAGTTGACCCTTGAACAACATGGGAGTTAGGGGTGCTGACCCCCCATGTAGCTGAAAATTTTCCTGTAACTTTTGACTCTCCTCAAAACTTACCTAATAGCCTACTGTTGACTGGAAGCCTTACTGATAGCATAAACAGTCAATTAACACATATTTTGTACATTACATGAATTACATATTGTATTCTTACAATAAGATGAGGTAGAGAAGAGAAAATGGTATTAAGATCATAAGCGAGAGAAGATACATTTACAGCACTGCACAGTATTTATTGAAAAAATCCATCTCTAAGTGGGCCCACACAGTTCAAACACATGTTGTTCAAGGGTCACCTATAGTTTGGAATGATGTAAAGAGCTACACATTTTTTTCTGCATTCTGATTTTTTCCTCTGTGTTTTTTGATCTAATGCAATCACATTCCTTTCTTAATTTACATGGGAACAGATCTTTGAAAAAAACTGTTGAAGTACTGGAATATCAGGACTTCATTATTTATATTAGCATTTTTATATCCTTGCATTTGTATTTTAATGTAGGCATCTATAAAATACAGAATTAAAAACTACACAATATCTTGGAACTATAAATCTGTTTGTAGTACTTGGACAAAAGTATATTCTCTTCATGATAGAAAAGCAGTTATTTTTATAACACTCAGCTTCTGATTCTAAAAAAACCTGGGATTTTGTAAGGAGGAATACTTTAAGTCTTTTAAACTGTTTTAATGTATCATTGTATAGAAATAAGTCAAACAATAAATGGGTTTGCTAATTTAACTTGTACTGATGATGCTTAATTTCTGTTCACAGGGATTCACAAACTGGACTAAGCGAGATTTTAACCAGTTTATTAAAGCTAATGAGAAGTATGGAAGAGATGACATTGATAATATAGCTCGAGAGGTGGAGGGCAAATCCCCTGAGGAGGTCATGGAATATTCAGGTTTGTATATAACCTTTAAAGATAGTGTTTAATTTTGTAACCTTATTCATTTCTTTAGTGTCACTTTAATTGTATCATTGTTCAGAGATCTTCTTTTTTTTTCAAGATTTTATTTATTTGACAGAGAGAGACACAGCGAGAGAGGGAACACAAGCAGGGGGAGCGGGAGAGGGAGAAGCAGGCTTCCTGTGGAGCAGGGAGCCCGATGCGGGGCTCGATCCCAGGACCCTGGGACCATGACCTGAGCCAAAGGCAGACACTTAATGACTGAGCCACCCAGGCGCCCCTGTTCAGAGATCTTTTAAACATTTATGAATAAAGTGTAGGTGAAAGTATAAAATATAATTGTATTTCCACAAAAAAGATTATAAGATTTATCTAAATGGACTGCTATTGTCCTTAGTAGTTAGCTAATAGAGCCAAGTAAAGCCCTAATGAAACAAGGGTAGCTATTGAATGAGCATTGACAAAATTAGTTTCCCACTTTTCCCATCTCTGGAATTTGGTCCTCTTCTGGGCAATTCAAATCTGAGAGTTTAGGTTCAGAGGATTGAATTAGTGTCTTTCTAGGTCATCCTTGAAGTAGAAAATTCCTCTCAGGCCCTTTTATATCCTCAGACACCCTCAGCGCTCCAGTCAACTCCAGGCAGGTCATATGTATTCCATTAACTCGGAGCAAGCTGGAATAGATCTTTTTTATTTTTTTATTTTTTTATTTTTTTATTTATTTGAGAGAGAGAGAATGAGAGAGAGAGCATGAGGGGGAGAGGGTCAGAGGGAGAAGCAGACTCCTCGCTGAGCAAGGTGCCCGATGCGGGACTCTATCCTGGGACTCCAGGATCATGACCTGAGCCGAAGGCAGTCGCTTAACCAACTGAGCCACCCAGGCGCCCCAAGCTGGAATAGATCTAAAAAGACTGGTTGAATAAATCTTTTTATTGGTTCTAGAATCATCTCCCTTTTTTACTCAGCTGTGTCTTTGGTTTTAAAGCATATGGAGTTAATACTAATTCCCATGTCACAGCACATCCAACCTCAGGCTTCTGAAAGAAGTCTTATTAAAGATAGGTAATTATCTGGCAAGTTTTCTATATGTAGAACAGCAAATTTCTAACTTTCAAATAGGTTGAACTTTCAAATTTAGTTGAATATGAGCTGTTTAGAATATAAAACATTTTTTCTTATAGAAGCAATATTACGAAGTAGTTTTAGGTTTCTATGCTAACCTCTCAAAACCTGTTTAGCTTAACAACTGAAATTCTTTGTTTTTGCAGTGAAAAATAGCCCGGAGGAAACATTATGATACTAATAAATACACCAAAAATTGATAGAAGTTACGAACAGCTTTTAATTTATCTAGAGTGTTAATGCTTGAAGAAATCCAGATTCATTAGGGAAAAGACACTTTTTCTTTTGGAAATCTGAAAGGGTTTCTGGTGATTACCAGGGAATTTAGAAGCTGATTATATTGAGTTTTTATTTCATGTAATACCAAATTTATGAACTTCCTTTTCCTTGATTCCAGCATAACATTACTATTACTCTTAAACTTTATCACATAAGTTTTAGGGCATTTGGGGCTCAGAGGGGGCAAAAAATAGATGAGAGAGAGAGAAATTCTAGCAGCAAGAATAGAATGAAAAGAGTGTAAGAGAGATTTTGTGCAGAGAGGTTTTCTGAAATAGAATTTTCTTCAAAATAGCATCAATGTGGATGAAATTGCAAGAAAATAAGTGATTAAAAAATACCATGTCAGATGTTCTGGTGGCATGACTAGCTCAGGACAGCTTAATTGGGGCCATGTCAGAGGGTGGGGAGATTGGAATGGCTTTATGTAAGTGGTTGCAATAAAAGAAGAAGTGTATACAATTGGTTATTTGTGAGTATATTATACATAGCAGGCGTTTATATGTTGAGTGAATAAGTGAGAGAATGAAAAAATGAACAGAGGTGCTTATAAAAGGCAGAGAGTGACAATTCCTCATGTGATGATGAGAGGGGTGGTTAATGTCCAGTGCAAAGAAGAAAATGGCCTGCTAATGTACCAATTTTGTGCTATGGGCTGGATGTTTCCCCCTCAAATTTCTATGTTGAGATCCTAACCCCAACATGATGGTATTAGCAGATGGGGGCCTTGGGAGGTGATTAGGTCATAAGGGTAGAGTCCTCATGAATGGGATTAGTGCCCTTATAAAAGAGATCCCAAAGAGCCCTCTTGCCCTTCCCACCATGTGAGGACACATTGGGAATACGGTCATCTATTACCCAGGGTGTGGGCTCTCACTGGACTTGGAATCGGCCAGCACCTTGATCTTGGGACTTCCCAGCCTCCATAACCGTGAGAAATAAATGTTTGTTGTTGAAACCCCACCCCCACAGAAATAAAAGTCAGAGAGCACTAACATTCCTTTTATGATAGGCTCTAAAAATGAAAAATTTGAGAAGGTAGGCTATGCCATGAAAAGGTCTTTCACTGAAGTCATAACGTGACAATACAGCCAAATTATTTAGATTACATATAAAATTTGGGTGACTTTGTTGGTTTTTTTGTTTTTTGCTTTTAAGAGAAAAGGTTGTTTCAAGTAAGTTTAGAAACAAGATACAGGTCACTGGAAATACCTAAGTTTAGTGAGTGGTTCCGAAAGTGAAGAGTTTTGGTAGAAATTGCTGCTTCATAGGAAGTTTGAATGACTTGTTGATAATGGGTTTCGTTTTTGTTTTTGCATGCTGGGAAGCTATGTTCTCTAAGTTTATATGCCCACCCTCTCTTCTGTTTAACTTTATGTGTTTGGTCCCTTCTATATCAAATTTGATTGAAAGCATAGCTTAAATTAGTGTCTGTAGTATCTTTTGAAATTCTAGTCATTTGGGATTGATGATTAAAAATTCCAGGGTGCCTGGCTGGCTCAGTCATTAAGCATTTGCCTTTGGCTCAGGTCATGATCCCAGAGTCCTGGGATCGAGTCCCACATCGGGCTCCCTGCTCCGCGGGAAGCCTGCTTTTCTCCCTCTCCCACTCCCCCTGCTTGTGTTCCTGTTCTCGCTGTCTCTGTCTCTGTCAAATAAATAAATAAAATCTTAAAAAAAAAATTCCGTAATATTTCATGAAAAGGAATTCACTAACCTAAAACCTTCTTGTTGAGGTCTTACTTTTAAATAAAAAGAGGTATTTAATAATTGAATATATATATATATTTATGAATCTGAATCTTAGTCTTAAACAGTATAAAGCTCACTGCATCATGTCCTGTTAATTCTTTATTCTTTATTATTATCTTAAAGAATCTTAATTCTTTATTCTATAACTCCTCAGATTCATTTGCTTAAGATAGTAGTACATTTATTGAAAAGTAATAATTCTGTTTTTCAGCTGTATTTTGGGAACGTTGCAATGAATTACAGGACATTGAGAAAATTATGGCTCAGATTGAACGTGGAGAAGCAAGAATTCAACGAAGGATCAGTATCAAGAAAGCCCTGGATGCCAAGGTACTATATTTCATAATTTTCGAATTATTATTAGATTGTTTTAATTGACATGGTGATTAGCTTTGACTTATTGCACATTTAGTTAAAATGTTTATTTTGTTTTAATTTACAGATTGCAAGATACAAGGCTCCATTTCATCAATTGCGTATTCAGTATGGAACCAGCAAAGGAAAGAACTATACTGAAGAAGAAGACAGATTCTTGATTTGTATGTTACACAAAATGGGCTTTGATAGAGAAAACGTATATGAAGAATTAAGACAGTGTGTGCGGAATGCTCCTCAGTTTAGATTTGACTGGTTTATCAAGTCTAGAACTGCCATGGTATGTATTCTTTACTTATTTCCTTCAACTTTTTATCTTGAAAAATTTCAAATATCATATATTCTTCATTTAGATTCTTTAATTGTTAACATTTTGCCCTCGGCCCAGATAAGTACTTGTACATGCATACATAGAATCTATATATGCATATAGTATCTATATTTTGCATTCAGAAATACAGGAACATATCTATATTCAGAAACACATACCTGTATCTGATATTCATAAATCTACATATCGAGATTTCTGAGCCAATTGAAAGTAAGTTGCAGACATCATGAGTGTTCATCTCTAAATACTTAAGCATTTATCTCCTAAAAATAAGGACCTTTTCTTACATAACGACAATACCTTTATCCTCCCTGAAAATGTTAACATTGATTCAGTAATGTCATGTAGTATACAGTCCATGTACAAAATTGTCCAGTTGTTCCCAAAGTGCTGGGATGATCCAGGCAAAGTGCACATATTGCATTTGATTGTTGATTCTCTTTAGAATCAACAACTTTCTCTTTGAATCTACAACTTTTTTTCTTTTTGTTTTTTATGACAGTGGCTTTTTTTAAGGTGCTTGGGCTTATTGTTTTGTAGAATGTCTCACATTTATCTCATTTGCTCATTGTTAGATTTAGGTTAAGCATTTGGGGCAAGAATGTGACATAAGTGATGTGTACTTCCTATCACATCACATCAGGAGGCACGTTGACATAGGTTGTCCCACTCTTGGTAATGCCAAGTTTGATCACTTGGTTAATCTGATGACCACCAGCGTTGTCCACTTTAAAGTTACCTTTCCCCCTTTGTAATTGGGCAGGTGATACTTGAGACTGTGTGAATAACTTAAGGATTTATTTTTAATGAGAAGGAATTGTTGCCTAAGTTGAATCTTTAAAAGAATATCATGCGACAATATAATTAAGTAGAAGAGGTACTTTATTTTATTTTATTTTTTAAATATTATTTATTTATTTATTTGACAGAGAGAGACACAGTGAGAGAGGGAACACAAGCAGGGGGAGTGGGAGAGGGAGAAACAGGCTTCCCGCTGAGCAGGGAGCCCGACGTGGGGCTCGATCCAGGACCCTGGGATCATGACCTGAGCCGAAGGCAGATGCCCAACGACTGAGCCACTCAGGCGCCCCAGTAGGAGAGATATTTTAGCTTCATGCAATTTACTTCATTACTTTCTAATGTGAATTGTGTTCCTGTTAAATTCTACTGCTGCTTGACAGTGTTCAAATTGATATTGAACACTTTTTTAAATGCAACACATTTTTAATGTTAGCATTGTCAGTCTTTTCTCAGCTGAGGTAATTAAGACAAAAATAGACTTATATAGCCTAAAAATTAAAAGCACCAGAAACTAACAATTCAAACAATGGACATTTTTTTAGAGAGGGAGAGAGAGAGGTGGGGCGAGAATGAGGCAGAGGGAGAGGGCGAGAGAGAATCTTAAGCAGGCTCCATATCCAGCGCAGCACCTGACATGGGGCTGGATCCCACAACCCTGAGATCAGGACCTGAGCTGAAATCAAGAGTCGGATGCTTAACTGAGCCACCCAGGTGCCCCCAACAGTGGACATTTTTAAGGAGTTGCTATCTATCATAAATGTTTTCTTGGCCTAAAGTGTGAATAGGGGTGTGTAACTGCTTAATATTTTGTTTGATTCATTTTATATTTTCAGTTCAAGCTGAATAAAAAGAAAAGAAAAATCTGAGTTGCTATATGGAAGACACTAATTTTGGCAGATGCTTTATAAGATCAAATACGTATTAAAACTTTAACATAAATTTAGAGTGTTCATGGACTATTAGAATGTGCCTGTCAAGTTGATGGAATACATAATGCTGGAGAGCTAGCAAATACTTTGGATCAAGCCAGGATTCAAAAGGAACTGGAGAAATTGGAATGATGGACAGGCTGAATCTCACAACATGACAATTAATAGGGATAAATTTAAAGTGCTGTGCTTACACAAAAGAATATGAAGAGGTATATATGTTAATAAGATATAGTAGGAAGAGTTGAATTAAAAATAAAAAATAAGAATCTGTAGCATGAAAGGCTGAGGTTTGAGGTAGAAAAGAGTTGTTTGACAGGGTTCTTTGGATCATTGAAATAGATTATTGAAGAACAATGTAAATAGCTTTTCTATTAGCTTTGAAAATGAGATTCTATTTTGAGTGTCTGAAGACTTTGGCAGTGAGCTAGTTGGCCTTTTAAGGTGTCTTCTAGCTCAGTGCATCTATTACCATGTTTAGCAGAGAACTTTCAAAAGCCATGAATTTAAAAATTTTAGCCATTTGGAGTTTTATGTGTGTAATGATCTAATGTAGAGCAGCATCAACAACTTGTAAAAGACAAATGCCTACCTGCATTGGTCAGTGAATCATGTTTTAGATCATAAATGTCCTTTTATGTGATAGAACATTTGCTGAATTTTGAGTATTATTTCAGTGATACCTTACTAATTTTTTAAAAGGTTGAGAGTTTAATGCTGTTTTCAGTTTCTAGAATCATTAAATTAAAGGAGAGGATGAAACAGATTCAAAAGTACAAGAAAAACCTTACATTATTTGTAATAAAAACATGGCTATAGAACTACATAACCTTATTTTATTTTCTAAGAAAAAAACCCCGGTATATTATTATCAACCACTAGATGTCTCTGAACTCCCTTGTAAAGATTCTTATTTTCCTCCATCTTCTTTCTACAAAGCATTTACTTCTTTCTTTACCAAGAGATTTAAGTCTCCAATGTATATTTTCCAAAGAGCAGATATTAACTAATTAATTACATGATTGCGAAGTGAAACCTTTATTTTGTCTGTTAATAACGAAGATACCTCTGTCCTTCTGGGAGGTGGAATTTATGATTTCTAAAGAATCTTTAAGAACATATAATAGTTTATTTCATATTTAAATATTTTAATCCAAAGTTTTTTATTTAACTTTTCTATCATATTTTTTTTATTTCCCTCCTAGTTAGTGGATAATTTTTGCTTATGTTTCTGGATTTAGAGTATAGGTGATATATTTTAGAACATGCATATAGTTAGACTGTCTTTTTGGAATATTTCATGGCATTATCAATCATTAGGGAATTAAAGGAATGGATTATTAATAATTCTAGGTGATCTCTTTGCCCTTTTATTTTAAATAATTGTTCTTGTATAGTGAATCACATGCACAGTCTAGGAAGAGGAACTTCCTCTTGAAAAAGGCAGTTGTGTTTTCCAAAATTAATTTGTTTCATTGAAAAATCCTATCTTAGAACTACGAAGGATGTAATTTGATTCATTATGTGTGTCACTGTGTTCAAATTGAAATCTTATTAATGAGTAAACTTTAAACTTAGCTTACTAAAGAAGCTATCTTTAAAAAACATAGTTTTGCTTAAAGGTGATTCTTTCCCAGAAACACCAATAAATAGTGTGAAATACTCAGTAAGAAAGTGAACACCTTGGTAGTTATATTTTACTCAGACATCTCAAAGTACTGAATTCATGGCTTCTGACTTGTAACAGTCTTAAAGTGCTTAAAGGCATGAACCTCCACTTCTAAATATGCCTGACTTTGAAAGCCTTCAGCTAAAGTATGAAGATTTCTTTGAGTCTCTTCTCCATTTAAAAATGCTGGCTATACAAAAGAGAAAATGAGTTTTAGTTCTATTTCTATGTGCTAAAAGGATTGTGATTTTTTTCTCTGAGAACGTGTGTGGTCTTTAAGTAAGTAATCAGTCGCTATTGAACTACATAAACAAGTAGGAAGGATATGATCAATTTAGACTTTTAAGCTCAGAGCATGTGAATTGCCTTACCATTTTCCTGCTAAGAAAAACATCTTATAGGGTGCCTGGGTGGCTCAGTTGGTTAAGTGACTGCCTTCCGCTCAGGTCATGATCCTGGAGTCCCGGGATCGAGTCCCGCATTGGGCTCCCTGCTCGGCAGGGAGTCTGCTTCTCCCTCTGACCTCAACCCCTCTCCTGTGCTCTCTCTCATTCTCTCTCTCTCAAATAAATAAATAAAATCTTTAAAAAAAAAAAGGAAAACATCTTATAATGGGGTCTTAGTCTTAGGACATTCAAAGATGATCAGAATTAAAAGGACCTTTACCAAGTGACTGTAAGAGGAAATGATAATACTATGTTTATATAGTATCCTTTATGTAATACTTGCCAATCTGTTTACTAATATTAGCTCACTAATTTTTTTGCCATTCCTTTTAGGGAATGAATATCAGGGTATTATCTCCATTCATTTAGTGACAGACTTAACGTGATTGGGAGATTTGAGAAGAATCAAGATTCAAAAGATGTAGCACATTATTCAAGTTTACTGGAAAGGACATGTGGAAAATACCCAAAGTTTAATCAGTAATTCTTTAGACCTGCTTAGGTCCTTTTAAGGACTTATAGGAGAAAAGGCAGAATTTAACTTTCTGAGATAAAGAACATTTCTTGATAGAACCGTTTATAGCATCCTTTGCAGGGTTGCTTTAAGTCTTAATTTTAGTCAAAAAGCATTCTTGCCTTTTAGCCTCTCTGAGGAGGTTTTTTCTTTCCTCTCTCAGCCACCTCAAGAAGCTGTGTGTGCATTGCCTGTAGCCATGCAGCTTGGAGTTGAATCAAAGTATTAGTAATGAGTTGTTTACAATTACCCTGCCTTAGGTAGTTAAATGAATTTTTCTGATAGCATCTCAGAAAGAATTGCATACTGTTGTATACAATGTAATAAAAATTCCACGTTATTACTGTTTGTTTTCAAATCACAACTTTATGAAAATGTTCCTTATTTAAAATTAAGACAATGACATTCCTGATTAGAATTGGAGAAAAAAATACTTTTTAGAAAATATTGCTATAGCTTTTTATTAGCTTGCTTCCTTTTTATAGATTTATCAGTGATAGTAAATGTTAATTAGGTTATCAGTTTGGTACAGGATATTTTATAAATTATCTGTCCAATTAGGATTTTTTTAATAGATAATTTAGAAAAAT